GCTCTTGGGGGTCCTCTTGGGGCCGTCTTGGACCTTCTTGAGGCCTTGTTGGGCCCCCTTGGGGCCATCTTGGGCCGTCTAGGGGCCGTCTTGGCCCGCACAAAGGCCATCTTGAGCCACCCTCGTGGCCCCCCCAAGAGGCCCAAGAAAGAGAAATCATTAATTTTACTTAGGTTTTGGTAGGCTTTGGGGGCCCAAAAGGGGGCCGCCAGGTTGGGTCGATGGATGTGGCGTAGCCCCTGGGGGGGTTCGGGGGAGACATAATAATGTAACACAAGACATTATGTAGCAATTATACATTTATGGGATACAATGGATACGTTGCGTTATCGCCTCCACAGAAAACGCTGCCGCTCAGCACGTCACTTCCGGACGTGGATTCTACAGGCTTGCGCCACATCCGCCGGCCCCGTCAAGGCGTTTTTCACGCGGCGCGAAAAAACGATGCGTTTGGACCCTGTGAAAGATTTGGGGGCCGATTTTGAGTTTCGAGGTTCCCTGGGTTGCGGGGGCCATCGTCGTCGCCGCTGCCGGACAAGGCGCGATAAAACCCTGCGTGTGTCAACCGGGAGGGGTCTGGGGACAAATCTTGAGAATCGAGGTTTCGTGGTCCTTCGGGGCCGTCCTCGTTGGCGCGGCCAGGCGCGGCGCCAGAAACGGCTGCGTTTGCAGCCCAGGAGGGGTGGGATACATTCAATAGGAAGCTTGCCTGACCGCCAGTCCCTCGCAGCCAAGAGGGCCCGCGACTGCCTCAAAAGATTCCAAGATGGCCGATGACGGCCCCCGCGCAGCCCCAAGACGGCCGAAGAGGTCTCCAATACCGCTCTTGAGGGCCCCAAGAACACCCCAAGATGATTTCCCGATCTGTTTTGGCTCAAGGCCCGTGGCGAGCTTTTTGTCCCCAGCCGTCGGCCCAAGCAGATATAGTTCCCGCGCTGTGCGGATCCTTGTTGGTCCGCAGCCCATGGCAGGACGCGAACAGCAGACGTTGCTGGAGAAACAGGCGCTGACGGGAACGCTTGGGCGAGTGTCTCGCCAGGGAAAATGCCGGCATGAGAGCTGGTTTGTCGCATTCACGCTAGAATTCCAGCACCCGTTTGCAGTTGCTGGAGCACCGCAAAATAGACCAAGGCACTCACTGACGCACCGCTGACATTTGCACAGGTTCCCACACGCAGCGTCGCCATCGCGCCGCCGGATGTTAGCAAACTGAGAGTTTTTAGCGATGCGTTGTGGCTCATACGCAATGGACACTCAGTGGATGAGCTTCCGTTTGGCGACGGCCAATTGTGGTGTTTTGCATTGCTGGTCTGCGTTTTCGGATCCGCTTCAACCAGAGCATGGACAACGTAATCTTGCCCAGTGACCTGCAGAGCTTCACCTTTGACTACGACTGCAAGCGCAACGTGGACGATGTAATCTTGTCTGGTGGCCTGCAGAACTTGACATTGGGCTACGATCTCAACCAGAGCATGGACAACGCAACTTTGGCCAGTGACCTGCACAGCTTCACCTTTGACTGGGGGCTCAACCAGAGCATGGGGAACAACGTAGTTCGGTCCAGTGGCCTGCAGAGTTGACTGTTGGCGAGCAGGTCAGGTAGAGCGTCGGCGACCTAACTTTATCTAGTGCCCAACGACCCATCGCGCCATCGTGCCTGGGCTGTGGGTTCTAAGCGTCCTGGATGCTCGTTGGGACATATCGCGAGGGGCCTCTCGGAAGCGTCTGGGGGGCAATTTTGATGCCTCTTGGGTGCTATTCGGGGGCCTCTTGGGGCCTCTGTTGGACATCGTTGGGGTTTCGTGGGCCCTCTCGGGGGTTTCTCGGTGCCTTTTGAGGGCCTCCTGGAACCTCCTGGGGGCCGCTGGGGGCGGACGGCCTGAATTGTCAGTTTATGCCCCCTCTTGGGCCCGTCTTGGGGCAGTCTTGGGGTTGTATTTGGCAGGGGCCGTCTTGGGGCCGCCTAGGTGACCTCTGAGGCCGTCTTGAGGCGGTCCTGGGGGCCTCTGGGGCCGTCTTGGAACGTCGGGGGTCGATTTTGGGATAGCGTGAAACATCAGGAAATTAGCGTTAGCAGAAATCCAGGACAACTGCATCATAGGGGCGCTCTTTGGGGCCTTTTTGGGGCGCTCTTGGGGTCTCCTTGGGGCCTCTTGGGCCGTCTTAGGGCCATGTTGGGCGCGGAACCCGCGCGGTCGCTTCATGGGAACCTCTGGCCTCCGGGAAAATCGCGCGGGAAGCCCAGGGGCGCCCAGGGGCGCCGAGAGATTTTGAGAGTCTGAGGCCCCAGCCCCTAGCGCACGATAAGCCCCCAGTCCTGAGCACAAAGAACAGACAACCCTTGAGGACCAGGGGATAAATCCACTTCGTGCCTCGAGGCACGGCGGTGGATCCTGTGGGTTGCAGAGCTTGACCTCCGGCTTCAACTTCAACCGGGGCGCGGGCAACGTAGCTCTGTCCAGTGGTCTGCCTTCACCTTTGGCAAGCAGTTCAACCAGATCATCGTCGACATAACTTTGTCTGGTTGCCTGCGGAGCTTCACTTTCCGTCTCAAGTTTCACCGGATCGTGGACAACGCAATTGTGCTCAGTGGCCTGCAGGGCTCGAACTTTGGCCACGATTTCAGCGGGAGCATCGGGGGTGTGGTTTTTGCCCAGCGGCCTGCGGAACTTGACCTTTGGCTGGGGTTGAACCGGAGCATTGACAATGTTGTCATGCCCGTGGCCTGCAGAGCCTGACCTGACCTTTGGCTCAAACGCATCGTTGCCCAGTGGCCTGCAGAACTCGACCTCTGGCGGGGGCTCGAACAGAGCATTGGCAAGGTAGCTGTGCCCCATCGCCTGACTTGCTTGACCCGTGGCCGGGGTTTCAGACTGAGCATGGGCAAGCTGGCTTGCCCAGTCTCCCGCGGAGCTTGACCTTTGGCGGAGAGTTTAAACAGGTCACGGGCAACGTAATTTTGCCCAGCGTCTTCCAGAGCCTGACCTCTGGCCACGATTGCAACGTTGCCACGACGACCTAACCTTGTCCAGCCTGCTGCAAAACTTGACCTTTGGCTGGGAGGCCAACCCGGTCATAAACAACGAACTTTGGCTGGCAGGTTCAATCGCAGCATGGGCGGCGTAATTTTGCTTGGCGGCCAGCAGAACTCGACCTGTGGTCGGGGTTTCGACCAGGGCATGGGCAATGATGGTGTAGCCCTTGCAGCGCGCGCAGCGCGGCGAAGACCGTCGGCGGGGTCGCATCTGCTGGGGGCCGGGGGGCCCAGCCATTGATCCATGCGTCGTCTCCCGAAGATGTTGCCGGGGAGAAGGGCGAGCGGCGCGAGCGCGGGGAAGTCATCTCCGAGTCCGGCGATGCAGCTTGCGAGCCCGTCTTCCACAAATGTTCCCATCGCGGGCTCACGGCTCGGGGGCATATCGTTTTCCAGCTTGGCCTGGGCAGCATCTTCGAGCTTGCCTTCAACGCGGCGAAGGCCTCATGATCGCAGCTTTGTCAGGTTCGCCCCCAGGACACGCGGTCGCGCTGGCTCCCCTCGCGCTGCAGATGTATTTGAAATCTTGTTTCGTCGAGAGCAAAAATTGTTGACGCTTCGCGTATCTCCGCAGGTCGCCTCCTCGTCGCGTTGGACGGTGCGGCCTCACTGGCCCCTCCGTGCTGCCACGGCGCGGCGTGACCCACGCCCTTACGCGCTGGTCGGTACGGAGTGAGCTGGCGCCATTGTGCGACTTCTCCTCCGTCAGTTTCCTTCTGATGCCTGCGTCCCCGCTTCGGGTCGCCTGCGTCTCAATGGGGGGCATTTTGTCCCTGGCACGTGCACCCGCTGCGTCGGCCTATGCGCCGTCGCCACTAATTATCTCGCCCTGTGCCCCAGCCGAGACCGCCCCGCTTCCTGGATCTGTCCTTGGAGCCGCCAGTCAACAAGTATCTCCGCAGGATCCCCCTTGCACTGTGGGGTGGTCTGACGGGCGCTGGCATCGCCGCGGAGCGGTTCAGCCTTCCGCAGAGGCTACAGCACCCCAGGCTCACCATCAGCTTTCCCCAGTTGCGTTGCATCGCGGTTCGCGACAGCTCAGCCCCCCTGGCTAGCTCACGTCGCGAATGGCGTTTGGAGCCTGGCGCCCCACCGGCGACTCACTCCACAGGCCCCCCACTTGCCCCCACTCAGAACGACGGACTTGGTTATCCTGGCTCACGTCTCTTACTGTGTGGGTCGTGCCATGGCAGGCACCGAATTCCATGACACTTTGCCCTGTGCACGCGCTCGAGCTCTCAGGGTGCCCCCCGCCGTCAGCTCCCCTTCAGCTTCGCGGCTGCTTTGTGAGTGGGCCGGCCGGCCTGTGCCTGTTGTAGCTAATTCGCCTCGCTCGCGCCCCCGACTTTGCTTTCGCCGCCTGCCTCTTCGCTCGCGGCCGCGACCGAAGAAGTATCTCCGCAGGAACATCCAGAAACAGTCACCAGGCGAGCTCCTCTGAGTCAACATCCAGGGGAACTCGCCCGACCATCGGGGGCTGCGAAAGACTCGCCCCCAACCAATCGGCTAAACGATTCACATCCCAGGCGACCAATGTAAGACCGCGAACGGAGGGGCCCGAACGATTCATGTCCGCCCGCGCCCAGAGCGCTGGCGGGATATCGCAGGGCATTGTAAGGCCTCTGCAGGATATTGCAAGGCCTTTGCAGGTATTGCAGGGCATGCAGGTGCCTGGTCTGCAGGGCGTTCCAGGTCCAGGGATCTCCGCGGGATTTTCGCAGGGGGCTTCGGAGGTTTTCGCGAGGTCTTGACCGGGGAAAGAGAGAGCAGACTCTAGGCTATAGACCGCCTCGCTCCCTGAAGGGCAGTTGGGTTTTCTTGTCGTTCTACCGGGTGGGCCCCTCCTGCGCCAGCGGGCTCTTGGCCGCGAAGGGCGGCATTTTGCCCCAGATCGTCGAGGGCAAGCCGCCTCCCCCGAGCATGATGCGCTCCATATGTCAAGTTCTACAGCGACTTGCAGAACGCGATGGCGCGGCATTCGCCGCCCGTGGACAAAGCTTTGCGCGCAGAGCAGGCAGCCGACACTTGCGAACGCACGGACGACGAGGCAGCGGCAATGGCGCGCTCGTGCCTGAAAGCTCCAGAGAGCCGGGGCAAGATGAACGACTTCGCGGCCTCGCAGCGCGACGTCGACATGGTTGCGCACGGGAGGGCCCTCAGCGCCCAGGGTTTCAACCGAGATTCCCGCGCAGGCATTGCCTCTGCTGCTTTGCCGGCGCGGCGCCAAAGTGGCTGATGTGCTCCTCGCGTCGGGCCCGCCGCGCCCCAGGGGTCGCGGGGCGGCGGCCTCGGGCAGAAGCGGGTCGGGCGGCGGCCGCGGCGGAGGGGGCCGTAAAAGAGCAGTAGCCATCGACGGCGTCGTCGACCTGTCCACCGGCGCCGAGGTTGACGGAGGGCTTTCTGCGAATCGCAGCGGGCGGAAGAGCGACGCATCGGGGGTTTCCATCATTGGCGCGGAGGGCGATGATGGCAATATCCAGGACCTCGTGTCAGGCAAGAGGTCGAATCCCCGGTTTGGGGGCCGGGGGAGGTGGGGGGGAACAAACAGTCTCGCGCGCCTGGAGCCCCGCAAGAGGTGGGCGGATTCTGTCGCCTAGGGGTCTCGCCATTCACGCGCATTGTGGTGCCGCCGCGGGGCATTGCATTGCTGCGTCATCGTTATGCGCCACGGCAGCGTTTGCAGGCCCTAGGTACAGTCAACCAGATAGTAAGGATGGGCAACCTTCCGAAGGGTACACTCGCATCCTTGTCTTCTCGGTCCATCCTTGGCCACTTTCGTCGGCCACGCCCCGTTCGGAAAGCCTCGAAATGGGCGTCCAAGGCCATTGCATCCTTATCGCGCATCCTTGCTATACTGGTTGACTGTAGTATTCGAGAGCCTCGCTCATGATCAGAGGCACGAACAGAGAAGGGCCCGAAGCAACATGTGAAGCGCGGGGGCCGCACGAGATCCGCACGGGGGCTGCTCAGGACCCTCTTGCTTCTGAGCACTCCGTGCGCTTTTTCCTGGCCCGGGCCACGCGGGAGGCCTCACCGTCGTCGGGCAGCGCACGGCCCCTGCCTGGACCCTGGCGCAAACTGCCCCCCCTCCCCCACTTCAGGGTCTGCGGCGGACCCGCTCCCTGGCCTCGTCTGTTCAAGAGGCCCTCGCCATCCCGCTGGCCTTCGGAAGAGGGGGGACATCGATAGGATTCCGCGTGCTTGCGTCGCAGCGACAGTGATCGCTCGGCGTGGGTCCGAGGGCTGTGGGTTTAGTATGACTGCGGATCTTTCGATCGGGGAGCTGTTTGGAGACTACAGGGCAATGTTGGACGCCCGTGGAGCCCTCGTGGCATACTCATGGGACCCTTTTGTAGCCTCATTGGGCCTGTCTTATAGGGCCTCTTGGAAGCATGCTTGAGCCAACTTTTACCATCTTTGGGGAAACATTATGGCATCTGAGGCCAGCTTGGAGCCATCTGGGGCCCAACAGTGCCTTGGTGAGCCCAGGCCTTTTCCCGTTGAAGTAAGATGGTGGGGCCCCGGGGAAGGGGACAGCCAATGGTCGCAAACGCCTTCAGCCCTGACTGGTTTTGCTCCAGAGGTCTCGGCCCATCCATACAAAGACCAGCTTGTCAGCCTCAGTCGTTTTTGACGGCCCTGGGGCCCCGCAAGGACCCGCCGCAGTTGCAGACAAGCGAAGCACATCCGTAGTGGTCCTGTTGCCCACGCCGCGAGGAGCTCCGGGCACGCCTCCTCGCCCCCGGGCAGGCGGGGGCCGGCCAGGTTGGCAAGCAGTCAGGCCTGGACCGAAACGGTGTTTTGCCGATTTCGTGGGCTGCTTTCGTTTCGACTTCGTTTTGCGGTAGAGGCGGAGTGAAGACAAGACAAAGGAACACGACGAAAACACAACGAAAACGAAAACGCAATGAAAAAGAAAACACAAACGAGGGAGCACGAAAACACAACGAACACGAACAACACCGTTCTGGTTCAGCCCCGTTGGCCAGGTGCCGGTCTGCCGCAGCGGCAGAGCGCGCCACCCCGTGGCCCCCTCGCGGAGTGTGTGTGTGTGTGTGTGTGTGTGTGTGTGTGTGTGTCTGTGTGTGTGTGTGTGTCTGTGTGTGTGTCTGTGTGTCTGTGTGTGTGTGTCTGTGTGTGTGTGTGTCTGCGTGTCTGTGTGTCTCTGTGTGTGTCGCCCGCAAGGCCGAGGCCTCGGAGGCCGCCGCCCGCTTCGACAGGTTCGGCCCGCACGAGCGCCGCGTGCTGGCGTGGTTCGAGTACGGCCTGGAGGTCCCTTCGGCGCCGAGCTGGCAGAGGGGGGCCCGCGGCGGCACGGCTTGGGGAAGGGGGGATCTGGAGGGGAAGCAGGGGGGAGGAGGAGGAGGAGGAGGAGGAGGAGGAGGAGGAGGAGGAGGAGGAGGAGGAGGAGGAGGAGGAGGAGGAGGAGGAGGAGGAGGAGGAGGAGGAGGAGGAGGAGGAGGGGGGAGGGGAGGAGGAGGAACCGCACGGCTTGGCCTTGGGCGAGGGGAAAGAAAAGGAGGAGGAGGAGGAGGAGGAAAGGGTAGAGGAGGAGGAGGAGGAGGACCAGCAGAGCGTCTGGGATTATAGGCTGTAGGAGGTGCGGGTTCCTCCCAGTGGGCGTTCCCCCCCCTTTGTTTGTCATCCATGTGGCATTTGCTATGCAAGTTCAAGAATTACGATTTTTTCTGTGGGCGAAGACTGGTTTTTGTTTGGCTGGCCCAGTGTCGCCAGAGGCATGTGCGTCAAGATCAGGCGAGTGACAGCGGTTAGTCCTGAGGGCGGGATACGGGGCTGGGGACGCAACGCCGTGACGACAGCAAAGACGAGGAGCAAGGAACGAGGAGCGAGGAGTAACAGTTCGACAGGGGGAGAAAATGGTGGGGGCTGGGACGAGGACGACGACGACGACGACTTCAACAACGACGACGGTTTCAATGACGACGACGACGACGACGACTTCAACGACGACGACGCAGACGTGGAGTAAAACATCGAATCGGGAGGTGTAAGCAACGCCATGGTGATTACGACGACGACCGACAAAGACGACGACCACGACCACGAGAACGACGGCGGCGGCGACGGCGACGACAGACGACGGCGAAAATCCTCGGGGGGAAGAGTGCTTCATGTTTCGTCGCTGGGAACGCTGTCTCCCCCCGAGAAAGGACAGGGGTCCGGGAGGGCCTCGGTTTTTTCAACAGGTGGGAGGAGGATCTCGAGGAGGTCACGGGGGAGGGGTGGGAGATTACTTTGCCGCGTTATCTATCATGTCTGGGCTTGTTCCAGTCACGTTGCATCAGGGTCACCAGCGAGGGCCCTGATTGTGTGTGCTTACAGAGCGCCGCAGCACACAGGGAGCAAAGGAGCGGGAGGGGGACGACGACGAGGGGCACCAGCGTGCCGAGCGCTCCTCTCGGGGGGCGCGGCTGTTGGGGGCATCGCCCGTCGGAGGGCCAGCCGCGCAGGGCGAGGAGGCGGCAAAGCGATGGACGGGGCTCAGGACGCAACGGCTACGCATCGCGACGGGGCAGCGCGACGGCAATGGCGCTCAACAGCACCAGCATTCGCTTGAGAGACGGGTCCTGAGGCCGGAGCAGAGCTACCAAGAGTTGACTCAACAAGCGAAATACGTTGCCATTCCCTGTGCTTTGACCAAGCGCGAAGCCTCCGAACGAATACCCGAAATGCACGAGCTGCTATCAAGGGTCGCCTTCCTCCAAAAAAAACGATCGCACGGGCGGACAGTGCGCCGTGAACCGCGGCGTGATTAAAATGCAAGAAGTTGTGCTCTCGGGTGTGGGGGGAAACATCGAAATTCGATCCGATATAGCCCAAGGTTGTGAACAGGCGGTCGCTAACTTAAGCAGCCAGGTCAAGAACAGCAGCGATATCCTTCTGGCAACCGTGGACCATCCGCGACGAAACCGCAACATCACTGGGTCGGATGAGCGTAAGATTGGATTAGTTATCACGCACGGTTGATAATCAACACCAGGAGACGGTGACACAACTGACCGCAGTGGCCAGGCAACCAGCGACTAAGCATGGGAGCCCGTTCGGGCGAACAAGAGTGGATCGTAACAGCCCGTCGAATGATAGAGGTCGACTGAGTGTGAGTGTGTGTAAGTGATGTTGTGTTGGTGCTGTGCTGATGATGTGAGCGTGTGAGTGTGAGTAAGGAGAGAGGGGTCTGCCTTCCATCCTGTTACTGCAGGGTGTCCACAGAAAACAAGAACCCCACTTTGGATGTGGGGAAGTATCAGGCGGAAGCCTCGTCTGTGAGCGAACTGCCAGGATATCTCAAGCGGAAACCCCTCCCTATGGGTCCCGCAGCTCATTTGTTTTATACGAGGCGGGCCATCGGCTTCCTGCAACTGCCATCAATGTTTGGATCCCGAAGCTATGGAGGAACTATCAGGCGGGAGCCTTGTCTGTGAGACAATTGCGAGGAAGTCTCAGGCGGGAACCCTTTCCATATGGGGCCCGCCGCTCACGTTTATTTGTTTTTATATACCCGAACGGGTTATCGAGGTTCGCCACGACGCACGCGTCGCACTTCACCTCCACGCTGTCGAAAGTCCAGACGTTGCGCTAGGGTGTCACCATCGACTGCGCGACGGGCGAGGACACTGGTCGCACGGGCATGTCGGACGATCCGTTGTGGCTGCACCGCCACGTCATGTTCTACCGCGCTACGCGCAGGCGGAACACACTGATCCTGCGGCCGCCGCCGCGAGAGCTCCTGGAGCGAAGGCCGCCAGCATCCTTGCGAAAGGCACTCCTGGAGTTCGACGTCAGAGCGGAAAGCTCTGGAGAGCTCCAGGGCAGAGGCGGAGCAGCTCGCGGCAGAGCTGGGTTTCGTGTTGTCCTCCCGCCAGAGCGCGGCGGCGCCCCGCTCGTGCCCCGCGGGGTTGTCCCAACGGCTTGGTCTCGCGCGCCAGCGGTTCGCGGGCTTGCCCCGGCGGCCTGGCGTGCGAGGCTGTCCCCGACGGCTGCGCGATTTCGCCGTCGGAGAATGCGCCCCTGCCAGGCGTGGCGGCGAGGGCGCCGAGGAACGTCTACGCGCGCGCCCTTGCCAGGAGGAAGGAAAGGTGCAGGAGGACAACGAGCGGAACGGCGATCAGGAGGGGGGAAAGGAGGAGGAGGAGGTGGAGGAGGGCAAGCCACAGGCCGAAGAGGAGGAACACGACGAGGATGGGGGGGGAGGAAGCGGAGGAAGAGGAGGAGGAGGCGGAAGAGGAAGAGGATGAGCGATGCAACGAGCAAAACAAAAAAGGAACAGGATGAGGAAAAGGAGGGGGGAGGACGGACGGAAAAGGGCGGATGGAAGCCTCCGCCAGACGAAACAGACAAAAGGCGAGGGGCAAGCTAAATCGATTATCGTGACATACCTATATATTAACCACACAGTTATATATCTAGATATAGATCACTCGCGTGTATATAATTAGTTCACGATCCATATTTACATATAAATATCTGGTAATTTTGGTGCTAATGGTGAGTGGCGGTGGTGGCGATGTCGGTTGTGGTCGCGGTGGTGGGACGGTGCGCTGGTGGTGGACATGTGACAAAGTGTTTGTTTGCGCATGCTGGTGCGCCACGGCGTGACGCCAGCTTCACGTACTGGTTCGTGTCTAACGGCTGCGCACTCGAGATATTTTGCTATAGCAACAACCTGCTGACATTCGACACGTGTTCGGAACACTCGCGCAGGCCTGCCGGACGTTTTGTGAAGACGTTTTGGGCATTCAAGGCACTTCCAAAACGTCATCACAAAAAAAGAGGTCCGAGAAGGCCCCACGACGGCCTCAGAACTCTCCGAGAAAGCCCAGCATGGCATCAAGACTGCCGGAAATGCCCCCACGAGAACATCCAAGAGGGCTGGGACAGCCACGCCACATTTTTTTCGTGTCGGTGTTTGAACGATTCGTGTGTCCCGGATTTCAGGCCGAGACTTGCACAATACTGGTCTGCGAGCTTCCGATATTGCCCCAAGACGGGCCAACAGACTCCGCCGAGGGCCTCCAGGCGGCCCAATGGAGCCCAAAGATGGCCCAACAGAGCCCGAAGAGAGCCAACGAGAGCCCAAGACAGCCCCAACAGACCCCCAAGAGGGCCACCTGCGCGCCACGGGAAGCTTCAGAGAGGGCCATGGGAGGCCTCAGGACAGCCCGAGAGTCTCTCGGCCCGAGAGTGCTCCAAAGCGGCCCCAAGACGGCCCAAGCTCCCACGACGGCCCATGAGGGCCCCAGGACAGCCCAAGAGGGCCCCCCCGATGATTGAGCAAAAACCCCACAGGAGCTCCAATCAGGGTTGCGGACGTCGCATTCACATTCTTCTGACTCGCCTCTGGGGCCCCCCCATCGCCCGAAGTTCTTCTCACTTCAAGCTCCCCCCAAGTTGGCCCACGAGGCCCTCAAAAGATCCCCACTGGAGCCCAGAATAGTTTTAAGATAACTCTCGACGTCGCCTTCTCGGACGTCCGACAGCCCAGTTCTTGTTCTCGTTCTCCTCCTCCTCCTCCTCCTCCTCCTCCGTTCCCCCCTCTCTGCCTCTCCCTCCCCCTCCTCACCCTCCTTCCCTCGTGCTCGTCGCCTCCCTCCTCCTCCATCGCCTTATCCTCGTTTTCCTCCACCGTCTCCGGGGTACAGAACGGATGCTCATGTTTCTGAAGGTTTCCTCCTCCTCCTCGTCCTCCTCCTCCTCCTCCTCCTCCTCCTCCTCCTCCTCCTCCTCTTCCTTCTCCGCCCATCCAACCACGCGCGCGCAAGGAGATCGTAAGACCGTTCGGGCCCGCTCAGTCTGACGTAGTCTAGCATGACGTAGCATGGCATAGCATGGCATAGGATGGCATAGGAGAGCGTAAGACCGTGGCGTAGCCTAGCATGACGTAGCATGGCATAGCATAGCATAGGAATGCGCCGCATGGCATTACATAGCATCGAGTAGCATAGACATGTATAACACGTCAGGCCATTGTGCTTGCTCATTTCCTCACGCGAGATCCTTTCTTTGGACTCCTCCGTACGCTTCGGTTCGAGACGTTCGTTGATGTCCCCGGTGCGCAAATGGCCAGCCTCCCGCGGCCGTCCGAGCGCAGATGCAGCGCATTGCACTCGCTGCGATCAGGACGTTCCGCGGCTGGACTTCAGCATCCGTCAGCGCAGCCGAGCTTCCCGCGCATGCCTCGCTGGCACCGCCGGTGCCCCGAAGGCTTCCGGCCTCTCCCGACGCCGACCAGAAGTGCGTTGCATTCGTTGCGGGCTTCCCTTGCCAAAAGAGGCCTTCGCCGTCGACCGCGACAGGTCGCATGACAGCATTTGCCGCGAATGTAGCGCAGTGGGCCGACCACCCCTTCAAGACGTGCCGTTCTGCATCGGAGAAGTGAACCGACACAACTGCCCTCCGTGATCTGCCTTGCAACCACACCATCTCGAACTTCCCAAGGCTGGCAAGCTCGCAAACACACATCATATATATATATATATATATATACACACACGCATCTAAAACCATGAAGTCCACGAGCACACCACAATCCGTCTTCTGTGTAGCACAGTGATATACCAGACCCGCACTCCTGCGCCAAGGACGAGAAATGAGGGGCAATATGTTGTGGCGAAGCGAAGCGAGCCAACAATTCTGTGTATATATATGTATATATATGTGTATGTATGTCTAGATATATGTATACATGTGTATTTATAAATATGTATATATATACAAAGCTGCAGTGGCTTTTCGCGCAATCCACCTTGTTCGTTGAAGTTTGGGAGCGGTTGGCCTGTCGCGCCTTCCTCTTTTCCCTTTGAGGCGTGCTCTCTCGTTCATATCACGGAGAAGCGGGGGAAGGGGGGAAGGGGGCAGTCAGTTTGGGACGGGCAAAGACTGTGAGTCGGAGCCACGGCGCGAATGGAAATTGCTGACGTCCTAGGTGCGCAACAAAGTTTCCCCTAAAATTGGTTGCGAACCTAGGATTGTGAGCAAACTGCGGCTTTAGGTGATGAGATATTTTCTGAGCGGGCGAGAACTCAGGGATCTACATGGGGGCCAGCCGAAGCGGTGTTTCGGAGCCACCTCGGACTGTCCTCGGGGCGTCTTGGGACTGCCGTTCACCCGTTTGCACGCTTGGGTGAACGTTGAGAAGGGGCGCCCTGGAGAGCTGGAGTTCCTGGGTGGCCTTGTTGAGGAGCGTCCTATGGGGCTGTCATGGAGCCGCCTATGGGCAGTTAGGGAGTCGCCTAGGGCCCTCATGGTGCCTTCCTAAAGAGTGAGGATGCTGAGTTGGCTCGTGTTGGGGCCTTCCCTGGCCGTCAGGGCGCCACCCATGGGCAGTTTGGGAGCCGCCCCGGGCCCTCGTGGGGCCGCTTTGGGGATTCACGAAGCGCGTTTGGGTTTAGTTGGAGCGGTGTTCGGAGTTTTGGCAATGTTTTCGGACGCCCGGCAGGCCGAAGGAACGAATGGTAGCAAATCTTACGACATAATTGAAACATCAATGTTTTTCGGGTTCGAGTGCGTCTTGGAGGTACCTTTCGGGTCGCTTCAGGGCATCCGACGAGAGCCAAGGCCAACTTGATGCCACTTTGGAACGTCGTGGGCGTGTTTTGGGCCTTCCGCCGGCCGCCTTGGGGCCAGTTTTTGGCGGTCATGGGGCCGCTTGTGGGCAGTTTAGGAGCCGTCTTGGGCCCCGTACGGCTTTTCTGGAGTCGGGAAAGGTTTTCGGTGCCTCGCCTGCGTTCTCGGACGCCTGGCAAGCCGAATGAGGACATAGTCGACAAGCATACAACAACCATTGAACAATCAAGATTTTCAGGGTTTCGAGTGCCTCTTGGAGGTGACATTCGAGGCGCATTCGAGCATCCAGCAAGGGCCTGGACCACATGATGCCATCTTGGACCGTTTGTGGCGTTTCTAAGGCCTTACGCCAGCCGTCGTGGGGTCAGTTTTGGGCGGTCATGGGGACTTTTGTGGGCAGTTTCGGGACCGCTTCGGGCGCTCATTGGGCTCCTTTGGGCCGTCTAGGAGCGCTTGTCAGTGCGTTTCCAACGTTCTCGGACGCGTGGAAGGCCGAATTAGCGAGTGTCCGAAAATCGTTCAAACAACCCTGAAGCATCCATATTTGCGGGGTTCGAACGCCGCCTTGGGATGGCATCGGGGTAATCTTCGGGCATCCGGCGGGGGCCAAGGCCAGCTGGATGCCATCCTGGACCATCTTGGGTGGCTCGTGAGCCGATCGCCGATCGTTTTGGGACTGCCACCGCCTGCGCGCGTGCCTTGGCAAGGATTTCCAGCTCCCCCCCGTGCCACGGATCCAGGGGGTTACTTTCCGGGGGGGGGGGTCCGCACCCCTCTGGATTTTTATAATATAGAAAAGGGGTATATATATATATATTGATATTGATATGTATGTATATATGTATATCAATATATATATATATATATATATATATATATATATTGTTATATCTATATATATATATATGGACACCCCCCCCAGCACCCATTCTTCGTATTGTTTCTTTCTTTCCACGTTGTCTTTCGCATCCCTTCCTACACATACATTCATATACACATACATACATTTATGCATACGCAAGAAGTGTGTATGTATATACAGATATCTCACGTCCAGAGTGCAGCGACTCATTGTTTCGGGGCCGGTGCCGGACAGCACGATTGTTGAAATTGTTGTTCCTATGTTGGGCGGATTGCACTTAGCGGCGAAGTGACAGGAGTGCCACCCTGATGCAGCCGTGCGCTCGCAGTGGGCGACTTCGAAAGACCCTCCCCCCGCCTTCCCTCCTTCGCTGCTCCTCCCTCTTCCCACCTCGGCTTCCCCCCCTCCGCTCCCCCGATGATTCTACTCACCCCGCTGCTCCACCCCCCCTTCCCCCGTTCCTTTCCCCCGCTGCTCCACCCCCCCTTCCCTCGTTCCTTTCCCCCCGTTGCTCCCGCTCCCTCTCTTACCCCTCGCTGCTCCCCCCTCACCTCCTTCCCGCACCCCCCACTCCTTCGCTCAGCCTCCCCAGCGTGCGTTCCCGCGCCGTGCGATCTGCCCCCAGACGCCCATCAGGTGGTGGTTCCCGCGGCCGGCGGCGGCGCCGCGCATTTGCGCGAGGCGGGCGGCTTCGGGGAGAGGGAGCGCGGACGGGAAGAAGAGGGAGGAGGGGGGAGGAAGGGGGTGGAGGAGAGGAGGAGGAGGAGGAGGAGGAGGAGGAGGAGGAGGAGGAGGAGGAGGAGGGAGGGAGGAGGGAGAGGGGGAGGAGAGGGAGGAAAAGGAGGAAAGGGAGGAAAGGGATGAAAGGAGGAGGGAGGAGGAGGAGGAGGAGGAGGAGGAGGAGGAGGAGGAGGAGGAGGAGGAGGAGGAGGAGGAGGAAGGAGGAGGAGGAGGAGGAGGAGGAGGAGGAGAGGGAGGAAGAGGGGTGGGAGGAGGAGGAGAAGGAGGAGGAGGAGGAGCAGGCGGAGGAGGAGGAGGAGGAGGAAGAGGAGGAAGAGGAGGAGGAAGAGGAGGAGGAGGAGGAGGAGGAAGAGGAGGAAGAGGAGGAATAATAGGAGGAAGAGGGAGGAAGAGGAGGAAGAGGAGGAGGAGGAGGAGGAGGAGGAGGAGATGGAGAAGGAAGCGGCGGAGAGGAGGAAAAAGGAGGAATAGGAGGAGGTGGAGGAGGAGGGGGGAGGAGGAGGAGGAGGGAGGAGGAGGAGAGGAAGAGGAGGAGGAGGATGAGGAAGAGGAGGAGGGGAAGGGAGGTGGGGAAGAGGAGGACGAGGAGGAGGAGGACGAGGAGGAGGAGGAGGAGGAGGAGAAGAAGGAAGAGGAGGAGGGAAGGGAGATGGGGAAGAGGAGGAGGAGGAGGAGGAGGAGGGATGGGGGGAGGGGGTTGGGTGGGTGGGTGGGGTGGGGTGGGTGGTGGTGGGGGGGGGGGGGGGCACGACGGAAAAGGGGTAAGGAGCACGAAGAGGAGGGAGTTGGAGCGAGCATGAGGATATACGCAGGAATAGGGAGAGGAGCTGGAGGATGATGATGAGGAGGAGGAGGAGGCAGGAGGAGAAAGGGGGGGGCGTGGGAGGAGGAGGGACGAGGAAGGATGAGGAGGAGGAGAAGGTGGAAAAGGAGCTGGATGATGAGGAGGAGGAGGAGGAGGAGGAGGAGGGAGGAGGAGGGAGAACCGCCCTGGAAGAGGGAAATTTATAAAAGTGGAGGAGTCCTTATCTTCTCGTCGAAAGGGGGCCGGGAAAATTATGATGCGTCCGAAGACACTGAAGCCCATCTGCTGCATATGCTGAAGTGTGTTGAGCCCAGCCCTGTGGCTGATACGGCGCATGTCTGGATAAAGGCCCATAACGGTCGTCAATTCGGCCCGTGGACTTCATTCGTCAAGGCGAAAGAGACATCAATCCGGCCCCTAGGCTCCGCTCGCTACGACGAAAGTAATCCTCGACTCAGCTCCAACACTTCTTTCGTCAATGTGGGAGGAGCCGCCAACCCGGCCCCTGACACTGCGTTTGTCAAGACCGAAGTCGGCTTTAGCCATCAGCTCAGCCCCGACCCTTTATGCGTCAAGACGGAGGGTGAGGCAAGAGGGGCGGGCGCCAATGGCGTTCGTCAGCTCGGAGGAATGCCGTCAAGTGGGTCCGTAACCCCAGGGGGAGGCCGTCAATGGGGGCCCGTGCAACGGGTTTTGTCAATTCGGACCAGGGGGCGTCAATGGGGTTCACCAACTCGGAAGGAGGCCGTCAAGAGGGTTCGTCATTTCGGAAGGAGACCGTCAATGGGATTCTTGATTTCGGAAGGAGGTCGTGAAGAGAGAGTTGGCGGCCAAGTCTTTTCACTATGGGAGAGTTGACGGTCACATCCCTGTATTGGAAGATGGCAAATCTACGGGGCCATCCATCGTGATGTCCAGGCCAACCTCCAGACCAGCCGCTGGCGACAGACTCAAGAAGCTGCGTTCCAGGCAGTGCTCGATGTCTGGCTGGCTGAACTTAAAGCGATTGAGCTCGCAGAGGCGCTTGTCGTTTGAAAGCGCACCGATGGATTTGCCTTCGGGAATATTTCAGAACCTTCGGACCCGCTCCCCCATTTCCCGTGCCCCCCTCCTTCGACCCCATCTTGATCCAGTTGCCCGTCCGTTCTTTCATCCCCCTCTCCTTGCTTTCAACGCTTGCCGTCTCTCTACCCTGCCTCGGTTCCCCACCTCCGCCTACTCCCTCCCCCTCCTCCGCCCTTCTCCTCCTCCTCCTCCTCCACCTTCTCCTCATCCTCCTCCTCCAAAGCCGCGCCGTAGTCAGCCCTTATCCGCCTGCTCCTGGCCCTGCTCGTCCGCGTCCTGTTTCTTTCCATGCACCCGCTCAATCCGTTTCTTCTTCTTCTTCTTCGTCTCCCCCGTGCTCGCGAATATCCGCTTCCCTCCTTTCCCCGCACTTGCTGGTCCGTGCCCTGGACTCTCAGGATTCTGTCATTCGACTTTGGCTCCGTCCTGTCTCCCTTCCAAGTCCTGCCCCCCGTGGCACAGGGCGGGCGCGTGGCATCCTGGATGGAGGACGAAGGGCGCGCCCTGTCTCTCCGTGGCGAGCGTACTCTTGCAAGGCGCGGGGGAAGTCACGCGGAGCGGAACGCGATCATGCATGGGGGGGAGAGCGGTTACGAGAGGGTGCATGAAGAGGAGCACGAGGAGAGAGTGCGTGCCAGGCTAGCCAGGTCGAGCCTGTCAGCGGTGCCCGCCCGTTCCCACCGTCCCTCCCGTACCGCAGCAATGTGTTGCGGCACGTTTTGATCCACGGGGTTGCAGCGCATGCCCATCCAGCGAACGGGTGGCCCTCGCGCGCGGTCTGCAGCCCCACCTCCGACGACTTGACGAGGGGACACAAACGCGTCGTGCAAGGGCGAGGGAGGAGCTTCGGAAATCTTTGCGCGGCGCTGCTGCGAGAGCGCCACTCCGCCCTCTCTCGGGCGGCCGAGCCCTTGACGAGCGCGCAGGAAGCGAAGAGTGCGCTGCGCCGAAGAGGCGCTGCCGCTTTCACGGGCGAGCTGCGCGGCGCTCAGGCGAGGACGCCACGTCGCCCGCTCTCGCGCGGACCCGCCAGGACTCGGAGCGCGGCACGCGCCCCACGCCCACGCCGGAACGCCACTTCCGAGCCAAGTCTCCACGGAGCGGGTCGCCCGCTCGCGCGCGGCCCGCCCCCGACGACTCGGCGAGTGAGGACTGTGCGCCGCGCCGGGGCGGGAGCGCCACTTTCAGACGAAGTCTGCGCCGCGCCGAGGCGAAAGCGACATTGCCATCAGCTCACGCATCGGCGAAGTGGCAAACGAACCATGCGCACCGCACCTGAGCGGGAGCTCAGCTGTTAGGAGAAGTCAGCGCGGCGCCGGGCCGAGAGCACCATTTCGCCCTCTCGCGCGGGATGTGCGCCGCGTCCCGCTCCCGCCCATGCTGAGATCAAAAACGGAGAGTTTGCACGGTTGCTTGCAGGTAGGATGGGTGGGCCTGGAAGGAGGCACCATCGGCCAGCTAGGTGGCAGAGTAGGAGTGTACGGTGGGGAACTCTTGGATACCATGTCGCTCCGCCAGTTCTGGCTCAGCACGTTTCGGCACGACACTCTATCAATGTCCCGACCTCCAAGCGTCAATTTCCAGAGCCTTTCCGAGCCTCCCGCCTCGCTGAGCGGAGCGACGCGCTATCCGCTTGCAAGGCATAGAGCGTGTCGGCAGGGCCGCCGCGGCGACACGCTAAACAGCAGTTGCCAACTGTGTAGGAAGAAGGAGTCAGAACTCGAGTGGGTGTGAAGAGATGTTTGAGACAGGAGCTGTAGGATGCGGGGCCCGACGCAAAATATGTGATGCATGCATGTGATCGCGCGCGGCTTGCAGCGTTGTCTTTTCGGTGTAAGCTCATGCTGGCGGGATTGGCGTCGGAAAAGAAAGCGCCGCGCACAAGTTGGAGCGCAAATGTGTTGACCAGTTACGGCACGATGACCTTCAGCGAGAGCAACGCAACGTCTCGCGGTCTCACGAGGAGCCCCGATTTCTATTGGAAGCCCCAAAGCTGCGTGCCGACGCGTGAGCGCAGCTTCCAGGACCATTTTGACCGGCTCTTGGGGCGAGCGGCATTTGTTTGCGCGCGGCCGCGTTTTCTACGACTTGCCGATGGAATACAGGCGCCGCGCCCGAGCAGAAGGGCAGCTTGCTTCGCGCGGCGATTCGGACGCGTTGGCTGACTCGCGTTGCACAGCACAACTTGCCGCGCAACTTGCTGCGAGGAGTTGTTGCTGTTGTTGTTGTTGTTGTTGATGTTGTTGATGTTGTTGTTGTTGTTGTTGTTGTTGTTGTTGTTGTTGAACATTATTAATTCTAAAGAATAATTATTGTTGGGACCCCTGGTGCACGGCCCCCCTGCGCCGCCTAGGCCGCAGCTACATTTTCATCATTTTCGTGAGGAAGCCTCAGGTAATTCGATGTGATCAAGATCCGGTTGTTTTGTTGTAATCCGCTTTCCCTTGCAAAAAACACTATAAAATGACATTTCTTGTTCTAATATAATCAAATTTCAAGAATCCCTTGCAAAAAATAAGGTAAAGTGGACATTCGCGCGCGCAAGACGAAATCCTTCCAAAACCTTAGTGTTCGGAGCGATTTTAACATAAAAACATCAAAAAACCAATGGTTTTTCAACAAAAAATGTCAAAATCTCATCCCGCGCGCTCTTGCGGATTCGTAGGAAACCCAACACTTTTTAAACATTTCTGTCAAACGGGCTTTTGCGAGCAACTTTTTCGAACTTCTGCGACAACGGTTGCGCACCTGCCAGGGCCATCATCCCTGTCAAATAATACCATGCGGGACACATTCGTTTTTTCTTCGCGCGCGCACGCCGAAATCTCCAAAATGTTTTGGAAGGCTTAAAACTTCTGTGGGTTAACAAGGCTTAACAACTTCTGTACGAACGTAGGCTTAACAACTTCTGTGGGTGTGTACTCCACGCCAGTGTAGTAGCCACGGTCGTCCGCAGGCCACGAAGTGAAGTGTCCGAACGTCATAGGGCGGGAAGCTGGGTGTGGGTGGTGGCGAAGAGTCGTGTGGATATTTGGTAGAGCTTGCACTGCCCCCCCACAAAGTGGGGGTATTGGCTGGCGTCGCATGAAAACCCTGGCACTGGTGAGAACACTGAGCGTTCGGGTAAAGTGATTGTTGTTGTTGTTGTTGTTGTTTGCGCACGGCTCCGCCTCCGACGCATTGGCTGGCAGAAAACATGCGCCGGTCGCAAGCGGGAACATTAGTTCATCGCTTCGCTCATTCCGCCGGCCCATATTGCGTCGCCGCTGTCGCTTGTCGGGGTGTTGTTGTCAATGCGGTGCGGTTGGGCGGCTGCCATTTTTCGGAGGCGGTGGGTGGCGGGTCAGAGGCCTCACGGATGTTGGTTGGGCTCTCGTGGTTGGCCTCTCATGAGCTTTTTGGGAGGCAGTTCTGAGGCCTCTTGGGGGCCGTGTTGGGGCCTCTTGAGGCCTCTTGGGGGCCTCTTGGGACTTCTCGGGGTGCCTCTTTGGGGGCCCCTTGGGGCCGCTTGGGGGCCTCTTGGGGCCTCCTGGGGTCCTCTTGAGACTGAAGGCTGGACATTTCGGTTCCTGGTCACCTTCTTGGGCCCCTCTTGGGGTCGTTTTGGGGCTCTCTTGGGCCGTCTCGGGCGCCTCTTGGGCTGTGTTGGGGCCATCTTGGCCGTCTTGGGGCTGTCTTGGGGTCCTCTTGGACCCTCTTGGGGCGATTTGGGGAGCCTCTTGGGGCATCTTGGAGCGTCGGGGAGTCGAAGAAGGAGAAACCCCCAACCGACCCCAGCCCCAACAACTATGGATTTTACATGTCAGCGTTTATACATATAACGGCGCACCGGGTCCGGGGGCCCGGGGCCGGGACCTCGACCGCAAATGTGGGCGGGGGGCCCGGAGGCTCGTCGGGGCTTGCCGGAGGCCTCCCCGGTCAGACAAGACGGCCCCAGGAGCGCCCAAGACGGCCCAAGAAACTTCCAAGAGGCCTCCAAGAGGGCTCCGAGATGCTGAAGATGGCCTCCAGACGTCCAAGGACGCCCCCAAGAGGCCCCAAGAAGCCTCCAACATGCGTCCCAAGAGGGCCCCTAGACGCACAATTTGGCCCATTCCCTTCGTAAAACGTACGTTTTCAACAAAGTTGTCTTTTGGGCTTTCCGACGTTACAGGGCGGCCCAAGAGGCGCCCAAGACCGCCCCAAGACGGCCCAAGAAGCTTCCAAGAGGGCCCCAGGACAGCCCAAGAGGGCCCCAAGACGGCCCAAGAGGCGCCCAAGATGGCCCAAGAGGGCCCCAAGACGGGCCCAAGAGGGGGCCCAGAGGGGGACCACGAACCGCAAGCTCGAGCCTTCCGCCCCAAGAGGCCGCCAGGAGGCCCCCAGGAGGCCCCTCAAGAGGCCCCGGGAGACCCCAGACGTCCAAGGACGCCCCCAAGAGGCCCCAAGAAGCCTCCAACATGCGTCCCAAGAGGGCCCCTAGACGCAAAAATTGGACCCATTCCCTTCGTAAAACGTACATTTTCAACAAAGTCGCCTTTTGGGCTTTCCGACGTTACAGGACGGCCCAAGAGGCGCCCAAGACCGCCCCAAGACGGCCCAAGAAGCTTCCAAGAGGGCCCCAGGACAGCCCAAGAGGGCCCCAAGACGGCCCAAGAGGCGCCCAAGATGGCCCAAGAGGGCCCCAAGACGGGCCCAAGAGGGGGCCCAGAGGGGGACCACGAACCGCAAGCTCGAGCCTTCCGCCCCAAGAGGCCGCCAGGAGGCCCCCAGGAGGCCCCTCAAGAGGCCCCAGGAGACCCCAAGACGTCCAAGGACGCCCCCAAGACGCCCCAAGAAGCCTCCAACATGCGTCCCAAGAGGGCCCCTAGACGCAAAATTGGCCCATTCCCTTCGTAAAACGTACATTTTCAACAAAGTTGCCTTTTGGGCTTTCCGACGTTACAGGACGGCCCAAGAGGCGCCCAAGACCGCCCCAAGACGGCCCAAGAAGCTTCCAAGAGGGCCCCAGGACAGCCCAAGAGGGCCCCAAGACGGCCCAAGAGGCGCCCAAGATGGCCCAAGAGGGCCCCAAGACGGGCCCAAGAGGGGGCCCAGAGGGGGACCACGAACCGCAAGCTCGAGCCTTCCGCCCCAAGAGGCCGCCAGGAGGCCCCAAGGAGGCCCCTCAAGAGGCCCCAGGAGACCCCCAAGAGGCCCAAAGGATGCCCCGAGAAGCCCCAAATCGGCCCCCAAAATGCTTCGAACCTGCTTCCAGGAGGCCCCCGACAGGTTCAGAGGCTCCTGAGAAGCTACGTCAAACTCCCAGCGAGCGGCCGGACGAGGCCCCCCCAAAAATCCCAAGAGGGTTCCAGTATGCGTATCCTGGGTGGCGATCCTAGCTAGAACCTAAGCGCGCGCGAAGCGCGCGCGTGGTTCTAGTTGCATGTATGGCGAATGTGCGAAAGTGTAGGCGCCCTGTCGACGAGGCCATTGCCAGCTGCCGCGGGGAGGGCTGGCGCGCGCGGCGACGTCCTGGGCCCACTCGACGCGGCCGTGCCCGCGCCAGCATGCCCAGGGCCGCGCGTGCCACGGCCGCGGCATGCCGGTTGAGGCGACGCCGGCGCTGTCCTTCGCACGGCAGCGCCGCTGGCCCAGCCGAGGGCCCCCACCCTCGCCTCCGTCGCCCCCTCGTAACCCGTCCACAGAAAAGTTTAGATCGGAGCGTTTCTTTTGAGGTATTTGTTCCAAAATGAAGTTCTTGTGGTGTTCATATACACGCAGTTGTCTATTTATGCAATATGTTTGGCGCTCTTCCGCGCTTATGTAGAGCTTATACACTTTGTCTGCCTCGTGCCTAAACTTTGTTTTCGGGGTCGATCTGAACTTTTCGATGCGCGCCCGTGCGGGGCGGGCCCCGGGCGCCGCCCCAGGCTCTTGCCAGCGCTGGCGAGGGCCGGCGCGCCCCGTCGTTTGTGCCCTGGCACGAGCGCGCGAACATCCACAATGACTTTGGGCATTGACCGTGTGCCAACCCCAGGCAACGCCAAGTTCAAGCGCCAATGAACATAGCAGCAGCGCGCCGTTCGCATTGAATTGCACGGTGTTGTCGTTGGCTGACAGTCGAGCTGTTTCCGCTTGGAGTTCGCGCGTCGCTTGACGGCCCCATTCGTCTAAAGTTCCTCGCGTGGGGTGCGGGGGTCGGTATTCATGCGTTCAGACAACGCGCTACGAAAACCAGGAGGGCTGCTGCCAGGCAGAGTTCGAGCTCAAAGAGCTCGCAACGCAAAGCCCCGCAAACATCGCCGCCCCTGCCCATAACAACGCCCCGAATGCAAGACGCGACAGGCCAAGACGCGAGCAACCTACTCCCGCAAACCCAAGGACGACCAACACAGCAATTACTGCCCATCCGACCCACCAGGCGCCCAACCAGGCCCAGCCCCGGCCGCCGAACAACCCGCCGCCTCCATTCGCCCCGCTGGATTATTTGACCTGGAATGCGCATTCGCTGGGCGAAGCAATCCGTCGCTCTGGATTCGCTGAAGGACGACGGTAAGAAGCCAACCGTTGCCTACCACTACCCAGGCCATGGACCACCTGCAATTGCGAAGGCAACGGCTTCGCTTGGACTCGTTAGTTGTAAGCTTCAACCTGGACACCAGAGATACCACGTGGACAGATCTAAACAACGCGTTCCTTCAACCTGGCCAGAAGAGGGCTTTGTCTGCCGACAACGCGGCTTTATGTAAGTATAGCATTGTGCAATGGATGTCCGTCGTACTTCACCGGGCGTAGTGTCGCCAGCGCGCAGGCGAGGAGAACTAGGGCTCCTCAGCGATGGCGTCGCTGTCGATGCGGGTGTGGATCTTGAGATCCTCGAGCACCTGCTGCTCGGAGCTTTTCGCCTAATCGAGGTAAGCGTTCAAGGACTGCCCGTTCCTGCCCAGCTGGTCGTAGATCAGCTTCACGACTTGTATTGCGATGCCTGGCCTGGCGGGGCCGCGCGCGTAAGGCCAAGCTCCGCTACCAGAGGTGAACTAATCTATATATATATACACATATAGCCACACACATATATATATATATATATATATATGCATACCACCCTTGAGCCCAATGTGTACGCATAGACGCGCCTCGATGGGCACCGTGTTATTGCTGATTGCTAACTTACCCACGTTGATATGAACATATACTACCTCTGATCACACCAGAATCCTAGCTGGAGGGAGGAGGGAGGAGGAGGAGGAGGAGGAGGAGGAGGAGGAGGAGGAGGAGGAGGAGGAGGAGGAGGAGGAGGAGGACGAGGACGACGAGGAGGAGGAGGAGGAATGGCATTGCAGGGCGGGGCCGGGGGCTGCGGCAGGGAGGGCAACGCGGGCTGGCAGAGATATAAAGGGTCAGTCTTGCTGCCGCCTCAGATCCTGACCCCGCAGAAGTCCAGGGAAGTCCTGTGGCGGTTTCGGGAGGCCCCGAGAGGCCCGAGAGCAGCGGCACACGTCCGACACCCTCCTCCCCCGACCCTCGAGGGGCGCGGGCAGACCTTGGCAGGGGGACGGGGCCCGGGGCCGCCGCAGGGAGGCTCTGGGCAGCGAGGGGCCGGGCAGGGCCGGGCAGAGCAGGGCCGGGCCGTCCCGCCCCGAGGCTCGCGGCGGGGGACGCCGGCCCGGCGCTGGCGGGGGCCGTGGCAGCGGGTGCGCTCGGCCTGGAGGACCTCCGCCGCGGTCTGCCCGACGCTGCAGCCTCTCAGGGGAGGAGGGGGCACCGACTGGCAGGGCGCGCGTAGTCCTACTGCCATCTCCTGTCCCACCCCCCCCCGCGCATGCACAGCATCATGTTCCTCCGCCTCCTGTGGCCCCTGAGGCCGCTTAGGGCCCCGTCGAGGACCGTGCCCGCCGCTGCCGTTCTGGGCTCTGGGGTCTCCCAAGGCCCTTGCTCAACGTGCGGTCTGCCGCCCCGCGGGCGGCCGAGAGCGCCCGAGGGGCAGCTGCCCCTCCCCTTGGCGCGGCGCGGTGGACATGAACACTGAGCAGATACCCGCCGGTGGCGCGGCTCCGCCAGTGGTAGCGGAGCCTGCTACGGCAGGCGGTCCACGGACAGCGTCCTCGACGGTGTCGAGGCCATCGATCAGCAGCTCGACAGCGTGGGCCAGGAGATCCATACGAGTGAGTTCGACAGCGTCAGGTTGAGCATCCATACGAGTGAGTTCGACAGCGTCGGGCTCAGCGGCCACGTGAGTGAGTTCGACAACGCCTGGCTCAGCATCCACTTCGTTGAGTGCGACAGCGTCGAGCAGCATCATCAGCGGACAAGATGGCTGATCGCGATGATTATCCAAACAGAGGTGCTGTGGAAGGCTACGGTCTCATCCTGGTCTGGGACGGGGATCCACAGGGTTGGCGACGCTACTGGGACGACGTTGAGATCTGGGACCTGGGCACCCAAGTCGAAGTGAACTACTGTGTGGCAGTACGGCTGGCCTCGAGGCTTCGAGGGGCCGTTCGGCGAGTTGGGCTTCGAATCCCCCGGGTCCAACTCCAGCCTTGTCCAGCGGTCGCGGAGACGCGCGATGACGACGGCACGATCGTAGACGAGGCCCAGCCAGCAGACTACATGCGAGGCATCAAAAATGTGCTGGTGGTGCTGGAGGCAGCGCTCGGAGGCCAGTACGCAGTCAGGCGCGGAGGGATACTGGGCGACTTTTTCATGGGTGCTCGCTACAACCGCAGGGTTGGCGAGCGCATGGCGGACCACGCAGCGCGCCTCGAAGAAGGCGCCGAACGGCTCGAGGATGACAGTATGAGGTTCCCTGACCAGAACGATATCTAGGGATGGTGGTTTCTGGAGCATTGCTCTTTGTCTCCAGAGTGCCGAGAGCGAGTGGTCTTGCAGTTGCAAGATGACAAGTACTCGTACCATGACATCAAGACGATAGAGATCATGTTCTTCTCAGACTTGCAAACCTCAGAGTTGAGAAGGTCACTACCGCAGCGGCAGCGTAGCAACAACGCGGATTCCGACGGTTGACACAAGGAGCGTGCTCTGGTGCGGAGGGTGTGAACGCCACCGAGCACGAGGAGCTCCACGAGTACGACCACGAGCTCAGCGAGGAGACGGGCGAGCACGGCTAGCACGGCGAAGTGACGGCCACGAGGTTCACGAGGTGGAGGTCCCCGAGTTTCAGGGGTTCGCGCGCCAGGAGCTCGAGGCCCTCACGACGGACCTGTAGGACGCAGAGGTGGACTTCTCGGCCGAGCAGACCATGGCCCTGGAAGAAGCGGCGCTGCAGGTGTCCCAGCTGCCCGAGGCGCTCGAGGTGACCAGGGACGCGCGCGGCAGGATCCAGGGTCGAGATGGCGGCGCGAGGCCAAGGGCAAGTCGCGTGGCCGTTCGAGCGAACGCGGCACTCCTGGACCTGGCCGCGGCTCACGCAGCGGCGGTGGCAAGGGTCGTGAGCTGGCCGAGAAACTGGAGCAGTGCATTTGAAGTCGACTTGCAAGGCATGCGGGCTCCATGGGCACTTGGCAGGCGACCCTGAGGGTAAGGCTCTGCGGGCTACCCTGGTGGCTGCGGCGGGCGACGACTCGGGCTCGGTTCGCGATGCCCTGGCCGTGGCGCGGCTGGAGGACATGGAGTTGCTCGAGAAGAAGAGCTTCCGCGACGAGCTGGCGCGCAGGGCCAAGGATCACCTCGACGGCGCGGTCGACGCGGCGTGCGTCATGTCCGCGATGGGGAACGTCTGGAATGAGGCCTATCACGAGGTGCTGCGCGAGACCAGGGTCGACCACCTGATCGAGAGCGGGCAGATCGCCGAGAACCTCAGGTTCGGCGACGGGGGCACCGCCACGTACCTACGAGGCCTTCCGGTTTCCCGCCGCGGTCGCGTCGTTGTGGGTCTTCAGCTGGGAGTCCAAGTCGGCGTGCTACTCCGCCCGCGGCGGTCCAGGCCTGGGCCATGAGGCTGTCCATCTCGCAGCAGTGCTCGACCATCGCGCCTGGCTTCCTGGGCCTGGTGCTTCTCGCGCCGCTCGAAGCCGCCGGTGCAAAAGCGTCGCCCAGGTGTGTCTCCAACGCCTTCTTCGCGAAAGCTGGCGTCGCTCCATGCTCGCGCAGTGCGCTGGCTTGCCGTGCTCCCGCCTTGCATTGAGCTCCTGTGCTGCCGCGGAGTCGCCTCGGCGCTTGACGTTGGATCACGAACTCGGCGCCGCCCCCGACCGCGGGGGCCTCGAGCCCGACTCCGCGATGGCACCTCGCGCGCTGCAGCCCCCGAAGGCACGGCGCGCGCGCGCGCCCGCGCCGCGCGCCCCGCAATCAAATGGCCAACGCCCAGAGCATGCGCCACACAGGTGGCACATCACAGTAGCGGCCGCAGCCGAAGAGCCAAATGGCGCCAGCGCCGACGCATCGCGCGCGTCCGGCAGATCCCCCTCCGGCCCAGTATGGCCCGCGACGTGGGCCTCGGCGCTGGCGCTGGAGATCCATTTGACCTCCGGACTCTTCTTCCTGTTCCCGCTTGCTTCGGCGCAGCGCAGGGTCGCGGCAATGGCGAAGACTCGGGGGCCAGGGCGCCCATGCCACCTCGCGGTGGCGGCGCCGGTCGAGCGCGATGACCCAGGTCGGGCGGAAGTTCCCCCTTGCCAGCGCACGCCTCAGGGGGCGCCGTGTACTTCTCGGGCTCCATTTCCAACGCGAAGTGGCGATTCTCGGAATCCAGGGGCGGCGGGGGGCCCGAGCCCGCAGTGAGCTTCTTGCCTGCCGCGCCGATGCCGGCACCGATCGCCTCCTGGAAGTCACGCCCTAACAGCGGGCTGAGCTTCTCATCCTTCGCGCCGCAGGCCCTTCCCAGGACTGGCGCGCCTGCGAGCGCTTCCAGAAGGGTGGTGACCAACTGGGGGGGCCAGCTAGAGTCAAGGACGGGCACGCGGACGTACTGCGGGGCAGCAGTTACTCCGCGGCAGCCCTTGGACCGCGCCCCAGAACTTCAGGAAGAACAGCGCCTGGCTGGCCATCGACCGGGCCGAGAGCAGGCCAGCGGCCAGGCCATTCTCTGTGGATGCGACGCGGGCTCCAGCAGCTGGGGCAATCGCCGCGCTCGAGCGCCCCGTGAACTGTCGCGGCTGGATGGTGCCCGAGGTCTTGGAGCTTGCAGAGCTGCTGCCCTTCGAGTGCGCCATGGACAGCTGCGCCTGCGGCCTGAAGGACGACAGGACGGACAAGTGCGCCATGGAGCCGTGGGAGGCGCTCGCCAGCCATCGGCCGTTGCGGAAGTTCCTGAACATGAGATGCCCACGCGGGTTCACGAACACTTTCGAGGCCGCGAGTTCAACCGGAAGGCGCCCAAGAAGACAGGCCTGCACACGAGGCCCTGTGCCGAGCCGCGGTAAAGGGATTCTCCAGAGGCATCGCGGACGTCAACTATATCCTGGCCGCGTTGCAGAACGACCCCGAGGGCGAGCATGTGGAGAAGGGGCCCCAGGGGATCCCGGCGACTCTGCAGGCCGAGCAGAGGATCGAGATAACTGGGGCCGTAGCCAGGATGCGCGCGCGGGCGGCTCGAAGCGCGCCATCGCGGCGCCCTGGCCCACCACTGCCCCGCTTGCATCAAGCTGGTTCCGCCCCCAGCCACGGTGGCGCCTTCGCTCAGAGATGTGCGGAGGGAGTTCGGCGACTGCCTGGCCATCGACACTCGATCTGACCGACGCCCAAGGACTCGGCGAGGTTTTCCTGAACCCCAGCATGATCGCCATGCCCGTCGTTTCGCGTGATCCGACGGTTATCTGGCAAGCCGCGCTGGACTCTCGGCTGCTGACGCCGGGGGGCCCGAGCGCGCTGATGGCGGACAAAGGCGGCAAATTTGAGCGCGAGGTCAAGGAGGGGCTGGAGAGCATGGGCTCGGAATCGCCCCGAGCGCGCCGCGCAGTCGACGCAGCATGCGATCTGCGAGAGATACGGCCGGACCTGGAAGGCATGCGCGCGCTGGGGTATTCGCGTTTTCCTCGCCTTCGAGAATGTCGATCAAGTGAAACGGACGACGGCGGCCATCAACTACGCGGTGAACGCAGCAGTTGGCCCCTCTGGGCACTCGTCTTCGCAGTGGGTGCTGGGCCGCGGCGTCGCGCTACCCGACCAGACCCTCATCCATCGCGGCGACCTCGGGCTACGCCAGCGGATGCTGGACGACGGGCAGCCCACCTTCAGACAGCGCGTTGGACTACTCGGCGCAGTCAGGCGCTCCGTAGCGGCACTCGAGGCGAACCGCAAGATCAGCGATGCTTTCGTCGCAAACAGCAGAGCCGCCACGAAGGCCCCGGCTGCGGCCACCTGCCAGGTCGTTGACCAATCATTCGACTGCAGAGGGCGGTCAGCCTGCCGCAAGACCGGCCTGGCGGCTACCGCCCGGGATGGGTGAATAGGCCAGCCCCATGGAGGTTCGCGATGAGACCCGACAGATGGCGGAGCCTCCGCCTGCCGACCCCCGCGGCCGCCCGAGCCGCGCGCGAGGTTTGAAGGGGAGACTTCGCAGCTACAGCCGCGGAGGTCGAGCATGCTACGCCGTCATCTTCAGCAACATCACCCCCATGACCTTGGCCCTCCTGATCCTCCTGATCCAGATCATCCCTTTCCCTATTCCCACGAGGGGAGGGCGAGGAGACGCCGCAGCCGCCTCCGCAACCTCAGCCGCATCGCCAAGAGGCCGCGGAGGAGGACGAGGCACCGCAGCAGGTCCTCCAGCGCCAGGGCGACGTCGAGCAGAGCAACGGAGAGGAGAATGACGACGCGTCCCGGGCCGGCGAAGAGGACAACGCATGACTGGCACAACGCATGGGCCAGGCAAGGAGGAGCGCCAGGTTCGGGAGGGGCGGTGCCATGACTCTCAGAACCAGCAGCGCACCCTGCGCCGTTCAAGCCCGTCCGCCACGGTCTCCTCAACGACGCCCCCTTCTCCATTGATCAAGGGAGAGGGCCGAGCGACCTGAAGTTTGAGAACAGGGCCGCCCAGGGGGCCCGGGCCAGCCCCGGGAGATGGTCGCGCGACGCGCCATGGTGCAAGTCGAGGGCGTCTGAGGGTGCTTCTTGACAAGAGCCGCGCGGTCGAATGAGGTTGACTGGGGCGCGGTCTTGGGGGGCGACATCAGGGTGCCCCTGGGTTCGATGGAGGGCGAGTGGGAGAAGCGGCTCGCGCGCGGCGCCGCGCGGCGCTGCCTGGGCCACGAGCTCGCAAACAAGCATCCAGCCAATGGCGCCACGGCGTCGGGCACGCGCTGGGCTGTCACACCGAAGCAAAAAACAAAACCAAAAAAAGAGAGAGGCCCAAGTTCATGTCTAGACTGGCGCTCCAGAGCTGCCAAGTGAAGTCGAACTACATCAGGAGCGACGCCCCCGTGGTTTCGGCGGACGCGCAGGTGGTCACCTCGGGCTTCCTAGCCCAGCGCGGCTGGACAGGATGCTCGCGCGATGCCATGTCAGCGCGATTACAGGCCGAGGGCGTGGACCGGCTGCGGCTTATCGGGTTGCCCAAGCGCCACCCCGCCGACCCAGGGAAGATCTTCTACGCGCAGGTTTCCATTTACGGTGCCAGAGACGCGGGTCGGGACTGGCATCAGCACCTGAAGGACTATCTCGAGACGAAGGCCATCTTAGAGCCCAAATTGGAGCACGGGGTCTACAGACGGCACCCTGAAGGCGAGCTCAAGATGGGCGCCCGCAGCCGCGTGGGCGACCTGCTCGTCGCCGGGCAGACCGTCCATCCGGGTGGTTGACGAGGTCCTGAGTGAGAGGGTGAAGTATGTACTTCTAGAGGGGCGCGATCGGGAATTTGAGTATTGCGGCGCGCACATCAAGGATACCGAGAGCACAGTATTCCGTTACACAGGCCAAGGCCATCAAGGCAGCCGAGCAGATCCGGCCAGCCCGAGACCGAAGGAATAACCAAGACGAGTCGGCGATTGCAGAGGAGTTGAGCACTTTTAGGAACAGAAGTGGTTTGCTCCAGAAGTTCGCCCACCAGTCCAGGCTGGACACCGCCTCCGAGCAGAACAGTCTGGCCCAGCGCGCGTCAGATCTGAAGGTGAAGGACCTAATCGACGCCAACATGCTCGCGCAGCACGTGAAGGAGAACATGGAGTGCGGACTGGCGGCCAGGAAGGGCGTAGTGGATGTCAAGACGGCCGCGGTTCTGGCCCGCGGGGGCTCGCCCTTCGCCAACGCTCCCGGCGAGAAGGGCCAGGCTGGCGCAGTCTGGTGCTTGACCAAGGCGCTCCGAGACGTGGTGCGCGGCCAGTTCGACAAGCAGGTGCCCTTGGTGTGGGCAAGCTTTCGCGTGGAGAGAACGGCGCGATTTAACCTGGTGGCCGAGGCCTACAGCATCAGTGAAGCGATAGGGCGCGGCCAGTTCCTGCGTCAATTTCTTCGAGGGCTGCGTTCGCTTCCGGACACGAGGCCGAAGGATATCGAGAGCTCCTCCACCTCGAAGCACATCTTCGCCGTGACCGGTAGTGACAACTTCAAGGTAACAGTGAACAAGGACAGCGGTTCAGTGGCAAACAAAAGGTTGCGGATTGTGGTTTCAGCGTTACGTGAGAGCGCGCCGCGGACGCCGACCAGGTCTACGACCAGGAGTGGATCGAGCACGACCAGGACTTCGAGCGCGACCAGACCTTCGAAGCTTTCAACCACGACTGGAACGACCTCGGCAAGGGTTGGCTTCCGCAGGGCGATGGTTGCGTCAAGTATCATTTCAGCAGCTGCGAGACCGTGTTGAGCAACAAGTGGAGACGACGGCGACGATATGTTCGTGGAGATGTTATTGGCCATCCTGGCCTTGAGGAGTATGGCCATGGTGTACCTCACGTGGCCGATGAGGGCACTCAGAATATCAGTGGACAGCGCGCGCGAAGCAGGCCTGATCCCATTTAGGGCTTGCGAGCTTCAAGCTGTTCAAGATCATGCGCCACCAGGGCCGCAGCCTGATGGGCAAGCACCGGCCCCGAACATCGGGAAGCATGAGACCATCCTTGACGAGGCGATCACCGGAGACATCGCGAATAATCCAGAGGCCGCGGAAGCCAAGGTGCACTGCCAAGAGCCTGGGCTCTGCTGCAGGTTGAAGAAAGCCGAGGGGATCAAGACTGTTCCGGAGGACTACGACTTCCAGACCATCCGCGAGAAACGGGCCAGCGAAGGACTCTACAGTATCCCGGCCAAAGCCAAAGTTCCGGAGAAGACATTCAGGTAGCACATGTCAATGGGCACGCATATCACGAGGGATGAATCTACCAGGGCCAAAGCTGGAGTTGCGTACTACGGAAGCCCTGGGTCCACAGGCTGCATATTACGGACGAGGGGAGCTATCTGCAGTTACCAAGGTCTGCGACGGGTGCGGCTGCGACGGCATGATCATGTGGGTAGACATCCAAATTACTGCTCTCAAAATAACGACCTGATCATATATACCTGACGCTTCATTTCGGCTTATAGCTGGCGAAGCGTGGCAGCTCACCTACCCACGGGTCCGGCGGCCTGGAGCTGACAGGAAGGAGGAGCTGACTGAGGTCGTGTATCTATACCATCTCCTGTCCTACCTCCCCCACATGCGCACCCTCATCGTCCTCCTCTCCTCCAGCTCCTGAGGCCGCCTAGGGCCCCGTCGAGGCCTTTGCCCCCCGCTGCCGTTTTTAGCCTTTGGCATTCCCAGGGCCTTTGACCAACTCACGGTCTGCCGCCTCGCAGGCGGCCGAGCGCGATCGAGGGGCAGCTGCCTCCCTTAGCGCGGCGCGCTGGACGGAAAGAGGGAGCAGATAAACCACTGCTGGCGCGGCTCCGCCACCGATGCCGCAGCTCTGCCATCGTTGTCGTTTTTTTGGGTCTCGTGGGGTATAATTAAGGCCATCGTCGTCACGGCCGGATTCGCCTTGCAGCATTGGTCAGAGCGCACCCCAGGGGAGGTCTGAGGACTGGCGCCGGCGGTGTCTGCTTAATTCGTCCCAGAGCCGTCTAAGAACGTACGGGAACACGCTTAACGGATCACGGCGCCCTACGCCTCCCTCGTATTCGCGGGCCTTGAGAGATCCGTGCCCGATTTGTTGGTGTCGTCTCTTGCCTTGTGTCAGGCTGGTATGCTGAAGCCTCAATCATAGGAGCGGCAGCAGCAGTATACGAAGAATTCGGCGAAGATCTCCGACTCTTCCTGGAGAGTTCCACGATTTTGACTCAGTGTGTGTTTGCGGCGCGACGATCTAATCCATGTGTCGTCATTGTCCTCCTCCGCCGCGTCCGCCTCCACCTCCGTTTTCTCGTCCTGCTGTTGATGTTGGCGCTGCTACCGTGGACGTTCCTCCTGCAGGCATGCGATGCTTGCCATCGTCCGCGTGCTGTTCCTCCTTCTCAGTTTCCCTGTGTCCGTCCTGCTCCGGCCACCCCTCTTCTCAATATGTCCCTCCTCTTCCTAATCCTGCTTCTGCTGCTGCTAATCCTGAACCTGCTCCTGCTTCTGCTCGTATCCACGTTTCTCATTTTCCGTAAGGGTTTCGCCCCCTGCCGCCAGCCCCCTCTCTATCGTAATGGGATAGATAGCTATATATACATATATATATATATATATATATATATATCAGAGTCGCGTCGGTGCGTCTCGGCGCTGCCTTGGCACATCTGGGAACATCATGCGGGGGGGATAGGAATCATCCGCGCATATGGATTCGTTGGCGTTATTTGAGTGTCCTTCGGCTCATCCCGCCACCGTGCCTGGGTTGTGGGTCTGAGGCCTTTTGTATATGTGTTGGGGTGTCGTCGGGAGCCTCCTCGGGTCTTGGGGCCTTTTGGCGGCCTCTTAGGGCCTCGTGGGGGCTTCTCGTGGCACAAAAGATTAATGTTCGGTTCGTGGTCCCCTGCTTGGGCCCCTCTTGGGGCCGTCTTGGGCCGTCTTGAGCTCTTTTTGGGCCATCTTGGAGCCCTCTTGGGCCGCCTTGGGGCCCTTCTGGAGGCGTCTTGGGCTGTCTTGGGGCGGTCTTGGATGCTTCTTGAGCTGTCTTAGATCGTCGAAATGCCGAAAATGCGAGAAGGCCAAAATCCTTAAACACTTTTGTAACATCTACGAGTTTGGCCCCTTGGGTCTCTCTCGGGAGGCCTTTTGAAGCGCTCTTTGGGCCCTCTTGGGCCGTCTTGGACCATCTTCGGGCGCCTTGGAGCACTCTTGGCCTCGGCAATGCGAATATGGCTTACTTTGATAAGGTTTATGGCGTCGGGGACGCGAATCTTTTGTAATGCACGAGGTTTTGTTGCTTCGTGGACGCAAACATTGTGTAACTCACGAGGGCGTGTGGCCTCGGGGTCGCGAATCTCATGTATTTTTACGTGTCCCACGCCCCCTGGAAATTCTTCACGCTTCGCGTATCCCCACCAGCCCATCTCAAAACAGCAACTCTTGCGAAGCATGCTGACAGTCGTGTTTTTCAGGCGTGTTTCCGCCTGCCCCCGCATATCTCCTGGCCTCTCGTCCTGGTGTGAGTCGTTCGGGCCCTTCTTCCTGGTGTGAGTCGTTCGGGCTCTTTCGTGGTTTGAGTCGTTCGGGCTCTTCGTCCTGGCGTGAGTCGTTCGGGCTTCTCGTGGTGTGAGTTGTTCGGGCCCTTCGTCCTGGTGTGAGTCGTTCGGGCTCCTCCTCCTGGTGTGAGTCGTTCGGGCTCCTCGTGGTGTGAGTCGTTCGGGGCCCTCGTCCTGGTGTGAGTCGTTCGGGCTCCTCGTGGTGTGAGTCGTTCGGGGCCCGCGTCGTGGTGTGAGTCGTTCGGGCTCCTCGTGGTGTGAGTCGTTCGGGCGCCTCGTCTTGGTGTAAGTCGTTCGGGTCCTTCCTTGTGGTGTGACTCGTTCGGGCTCCTCGTGGTGTGAGTCGTTGGGGTCTCGCGTCCTGGTGTGAGTCGTTCGGGCTCCTCGTTGGGCCTGTTGGGGGCCTCTTGGAGCTCTTGGGGCGTCTTGGGGGCCTCTTGGGGGCCTCTTGGGGGCGTCTTGGGGGCCTCTTGGAGCCTCTTGGGGCCTCTTAGGGGCCTCTTGGGAGCCTCTTGGGGACCTCTTGGGGCCTCTTGGGGGCCTCTTGGGGGCCTCCTGGAGGCCTCTTGGGAGACTCCTGGGGGCCTCTTGGGGCTATCTTGGAGCCTCTTGCGACCTCCTCAGAAGCGCAAATAAGCGCTGACCCCTGAGAAGGACAAAATGAGCCCAAAACCTTCGTAAAATCAATGATTGTGCTAAGACGGAAGAGGAACGCGGCCCCCTCAGAAGGCCAAAGTGGAGCCAAAACCGTAGTAAAATCAATGTTTTTTGCTTCAACGACGAGCTGAGGCGCCAAACTGCCTCCCCCCCCTCGGGGCCAGAATCCTCGTGAGGGTCGTCGTTTTTTGGCCCTCCCAGGCGTCGAAAAAGACTCCCCTGACGACGCTCGGGACTCCCTCTCCAGGTCCAGGGGGAGGGGGTAGGGGGAGGGGTAAACCCCTCCCCGAAGGGGAAGAAGGGGGGGTGAGGACAGAGCAGGCTCTCTAAACCACTCACGCCCAAAGGGCTGGTGGGATTCTGGCGATGCGATCCGGGCGTGGTACCTGGCTGATGTGGGGCTCCCCCCCTCGCGCGGACTTCAACAACTTAGAATAGGAAGCGGGCCGCAGGACTGTAGCGTTGGAGACTTGAACCTGCAACTGGCGCAGGGAGCAGGAGAGTTCGGCCTACATGCTGGTGGCCCCACCAGGGGGCTGGCGGACATTCCTCCTCCCGTTCCCGTTCCTACTCCTCCCGTTCCTCCTGCTCCTCCTCCCGTTCCTCCTCCTCCTCCCGTTCCTCCTCCTACCGCCTTCATCATTATCTTCCTCCCGTTCCTCCTCCTCCTCCTCCTCCTCCTCCTCGTCTTGTTCAGAGCAGGGCAGCAAGCCATCCTTCAACGCCATGCCCCTCATCTATCTCAACAACCCGACGGGCATCAACATCGCAACAATGCCAAGATCACGCCGCAGAAAACCCACATGAAGTCGTTGAACGTGCAGCTATACATTGACACCATGCCTGACACCATTGAGCGCCGCCTGATCGCATGGTACCCTACGCTAGACCCTGCCCCCCAATTTTGCACGAGAACCGCCATCTGGTCCGCGACGTGAAGCTGAACGAGCCCAAGAGCGCCTTCTTAACAGGGCGCGCTCATGGGCTGCGCACTGGCTGCCTGATCGCCTGTTGAACGACCGAGTCACAAACAGCCAAGACGACTGGAGGCATTCCTGCGTCACCTACTTGTACGAGCTGCCCGGCAGACCTGTTCCAGCCGTTGTACACTACCGACACACAACGACGCCGCATCGCCATCGACATGTGCAATCAAGCGTGGGCCACCAGCGGCCCTGGACGTATCCTCCTGGACTACCGCCTGTCCCGCACAGTGACCCAGGGCGAGTCGCCACGCAGCCGATCGCCACGCAGTCGAACATCGTTGCTCAGCCACGAGGCTGCCCAACACTTTGCCCGACGCCGTTGGATAGCCCACATCCTCCCTTTGGTGGAGCCCGACGCCGACCCGGACGACATTCACCGCGACGACGACGACATGGACGCTGACGACCCACCTGCCAACGCCGTCGCACAGCGTGACCTCATTCAAGTCCAACAAGTTCCTGATGATCTCCCCGCTCGGTGGATGCGCCTCCGCACCCACCTCGCGACGCTGACGCCCTCCAGGCTGTGGAGCGCCCTGAAGGTCCTCGCGGGCGCGTGGACGACCTCGCACAGGACGCACGTGATCCCGAGCAAGTGCCCTTGCAATTTCGGGTGCCTGCACGCCGACGACAACATGCATCACTATTTAGTAGGTGAAAGGATGCGGCACCAGCTGAGCTTACCGCGCGGCCAGCTGAGCATCAACATCATGACGAGGCTCGGCCTCCCCGAGCTGACCGAGCCGCTCCATGGCGAGAACGGCATCCCGAACAGCATCGCCAGGCTCTCCGTGGCCACCAGGGCATACCACCTCACGGAGGACCAGGACATCCCAATGACCTACAGCAAGCAGACGACCGCTGTTGCAGCCGCTCGCCGTGCCCTGAAGCTGCCCGCAGATCTGTCTGGCGGGGCTGGCGTGCCGTAGCGCGGCCTACAGACAAACGCGCCCGCTCAGGCGACGTCCGATCCTCCTCGTCTGGTTGCGGCTGCTCCCTCCTCGCTTTCCCGCCTTGGACCAGGTGGAGACTCCCCGGCCACACCTGCGAAACCAGGCGTTCGATTATGCCTGCCCCGCTACACCCCTGGGCCAGGATGGGGAAGCTCTGAGAGGATGGCGGGGGAGGAAGAGAAGGAGGGAGGGACGAAGAGGAGGCGCGGAGAGCGAGGGGGGCGAGTTGCGCGAGGCGGGCGAGGAGGGCAAGTAAGGAGAGGCAGGTGGGAGAGGCAAGTAAGGAGAGCAAGGTAGGGGAGTTGGGCGGGATGGGGAGGGCGCATTGATGGAGGACGACGGGTGGGGACGAGGTGGATGCGGGAGATGATAAAAGGGGAGGGGGAGGAGAGACGGAACGTATGTGACTGGGTGGGTGAGGAGAAGCGGCGACGGGATAAGGACGACAGTTGGGAAGGGTGAGAGGAGGAGGATGATGAGGAGGAGGAGGAGGAGGAGGAGGAGGAGGGGGAGGAGGAGGAGGAGGACGAGGAGGAGGAGGAGGACGAGGAGGAGGAGGAGGAGGCGGAGGCGGAGGAGGAGGAGGAAGTCGAGAATTCGGGATCCTGACGTAGTCAGACCAACAAGCCATCGTAATTTGCAGGAGTGTTGCGAGGCGGAGGTGCCGCCGTGAACAAGACGAGGCCTTCCACGACGAATATCATTGTGAAGACGCACTTGGGGAAGTACATCCCATCATTGATGTAGTAGTATTGCGCCAGATCCCGCCCAGGCAGCATTCGGACGACGAAGTTCAGGCGGTCGATGGCGACAATCACACCGAAAGACGTGCGGGCGCGCGTCTTGCCCAGTATGTATTCGATCGCTGGGAACTTCGTGATCACCCTGGCGCCGCCCGCGATGGCCGCCGTCGGCTTCACCGAGCCCTCGAGCCCTCCACTGCGCCCTCCATGCAATCTGGCCCCCCCTTCAATAGGAAATCCGAGGAGCCCGACTTTCGGGACTCGGTCACACCCTCCGTGGGTGAGTGCACGCGGCGCACGGTGCCCAACTCGCCGATCGCGAATAGGGCCGCCAGGACAGCAGCGCTCTTCACCAGCTCGGGGTCACCGGAGCTGAACGGGGGACGGGCGCCCCTCTGCATCCCGTCTTGCTGTCGCCCTGGTTCTCCGTCCACGGGGAACTCGTCGCCGCAGGCCCCATTGCTTGACAAGATGCGGTCGACGCCCTTGGTCTTGCGCCGCTTCCGCTGCTGTTTGGCACGAAGGTCGAGTGGCGCAGCTGTCTTCGCAGCTGCCGGCGCCGCTGTTGGCGCGGCGGTCCGCGCTGCTGTCAGCGCAGCTGCCCGTGCCGCGGTCTGCGCAGCTGTCGGTGCCGCAGTCGGCGATGCTGTCGGCGCGTCGGCCCCAGTCGCTGTCGGTGGCGCCGTGGTCGCAGCTGCCAGTGCCGCAATCAGCGCGGCTCCCGGGGAAAAGGGCGGCGCCTTTGACGGTGCAGCCGTCGGCACCGCGGCGACATGCTTTGACTCCGCTTCCATCGAAGCTTGCGGTAGCGATGTGAGCCAGTGCAGAGAGGCCGGTGAGCGCAACGCTCTCTGCTACCAATTTGAGGACGTCTCACACGAATGCATGTAGGCACGGCAGCTCCAGGGACATTGAATGGCCGGCAGGGCTCGCTAAGAGGGGCCGGCCGTACGCTGTTTCCGCGGGGCGTGCAGCGAGCGGCTCAAGGGCCTTAAACGGCAGTGGCCAGCAGAAGAGCAACAGCAGAGGAGAGGGGGAGAGGAAAAGACCAGAAAAGAAGGGCATGATGTATAGGAATTGGAATGGGTCGTTTCGAATGTGTATGTGTGTGTGGTGGTGGAGTTGGCTCTGGCGCAATCGTCAGACGCGCGATTGCAATTTACGCTGACGCGCCCCGCTATTTCCTAACCGGCTGGTGTTCCATCGCTGCTGGGGAGGAAAGGGTATTGGGCGGGGGCTAGAGCGTGCGATCATGGGGGCAGGACCCATTACTCTTTCATGGTTCTACGTCATCGTCGTTCACATGTCACTGCTCATTCTGCTACTCCTGCTGTTGCTCCTCCTCCTCCTCCTCCTCCTCCTCCTCCTCCTCCTCCTCCTCCCTCGTGCTCCACTCTCTTTTCCTCGGCGTCTCCCCTGCTCCTGGTCGCCCCCCTCCCTCCCCCTCTCCCTCGCCTTTCCGGATCCCGTTTCTCTGCCGCCCGCCTCTTCCTTCTACGCACCGCCCCCCGTGGGGGGGGGCGGGGGCGACGGCCAGCTTGAGGGCGCCCTCCTCCCACAGGACGTGAGGCGGGCGCAGCGGTGGCTGCCCGGGCTCTTCGCGCAGCACGCGCGGCTGGCCCGCGCCTCCGCCTCTCCCGCCGCCGTGTTCGCTGCGCTCTTCCTCCCCTTCCTCCTGCTCCTCCTCCTTCTCCTCCTCCTCCTCCTCCTCCTCCTCCTCCTGTTCCTCCTCTCCTCCTCTTCCTCCTCCTCCTCCTCCTCCTCCTCCTCTTCCGTCCCCCATCCTCCGCCCCCTCCTCCTCCGTCCTCCCTCCGCCTTCCGTGTCCCTCCTCCTCCGCCTCTCCTTCCCCTCCTCCCCCCCTCCTCTCTGAGTTCATCATGTCGCTCCCGCGGCAGTGCTTCCCAGCACGGGCTCTTCTGTCGAAGCGCTGGGCCTCCTCTCCCCTCCTCCCTTCCGTCTCCTCCTCCTCTCCTCCTCCTCCTCCTCCTCCTCCTCCTCCTCCTCCTCCTCCTCCTCCTCCTCCTCCTATCACCCTTCCCAACTGTCGTCCTTATCCCGTGCCTTGCCGTGGACGCCGGGCTTCGGGTCGCCTGCTTCGCAGACGGCCCGCAGATTGGGTGGGCCTTCCGCTGATCTTCCTCTCCTAGGTCTCTCTGCCTATTCTTACCTATTACGGGGAAGGGGGGCCTGCCTAGGCGAAAGCCCTGCCCAGATCGAGGTAACGGCCGCTAGGGGACCGGCAGCACCGACTCAGGCATGCGAGCGTTGGCAGGCCTCATTGGGAATGCTGTGCACATCATCGGCCGTCTGAGTGGGCCACACCTTTCGTGACGAGCACCATTTCGATCAATAGAGCACGCTGGAATCAGAGGTTCATGCATGAGCTCCGTTATCCTGGCCAGACGCAAGGGACTCTTGCGCTCCCCCCGTCTCCAACGCCAGCCCCGCCCCACCCGCTGGTCTACGTTACTAACTCATGTGCTCTGTTTTCCAGGTCGGCAGGGCCCAGCGGCGACGGCAGCCTTCGGTGGGTCGTTCGGATGCCCCCTACTAGGCTGCAACCAATTTGACCCAGCACGCGTTTCACTAATCCACAGAAGCCGCCCTGCCAAAGGATCCAGGACTGACAACTTGACCTGTCCCCCTTTCCCCTTTGCCGCCCCCGAATCCTACCAGCCTCCATCTACACCAGCGCCAGTCAATTCGCACTAGTTTCCTACTTCTCGGGGGAGGCGTCCATCGTCTAATGATGGAGGTAGTATCACTCCCCGCGCCCAGGTCCCAGATCCGCGGATGTGTAAGTCATGTCAGCGTCTGCCCGAGAAGGATAGGAGACGGAGAAGAACGGGCAGGCGGAGCAGAAGGAGGAGGGTGCGATGTTCGAACATGGGGGGATGAGGAGGAGGAGGAGGAGGAGGAGGAGGAGGAGGAGGAGGAGGAGACGGAGGAGACGGAGGAGACGGAGGATGACGACGACGAGAAGGGCAACGGCATCGAGGAGGGGGGGAGGTCGCGGAGGATGAGGAGGCTGAAGGGAGAATCGACGAGAAGCAGCAGGATGAGGCCGAGGAGCACGACGACGACGATGACGCGGACGAGGTTGGTTGGGCACAGCCTCGAGGCGCAGGGGCCGATGCTGTTGTAGGTGAGGCGGATGAGAGGCCCGGCTTCCGCCCGTGCCTCCCGCCCCCCCGCCCCGAGCGTTTCCGCGCTGGCCGCCAGGCACACTGCGAGCGGCAGGCGCTGATCCAGGTGCTGCTAGCCGTGGTCGCCGCAGCAGGAGGGTGGCGCGGGCGCCATTGAGGAGGGGGAGGAAGAGGAGGAGGAGGAGGAGGAGGAAAAGGAGGAGGAGGAGAGAAAGGAGGAGGAGGAGGAGGAGGAGGAGGAGGGGCCGCAGCAGGAGGAGGAGGAGGAGGGGCAGCAGGAGAAGGAGGAGGAAGAGGAGGAGGAGGAGGAGGAGGAGGAGGATACGTAGCACCCCGCAGATGCGGGTAAAAGTGAGGGAGCGGTGGGCACGTCGTCGGTGTCGTGGTAGTCGTCGTCGGCGTCGTCATCGTCATTGTCGCTGTCGTCGTCGGCGTCGCTGTTGTTGCCAAGTGCCATTTTGTACCCACCGTCACGGTCTTAAGAAGTCTTGCGACCAATTCGCGGGTGGGAGGGTGGGATACTTGCATCATGAGTGGAGAGGACAGCTTCAAGACAGTCAAAGTGAAAATCCACCCCGAAATAATCAACCCGACAAGCGAAGCTGTCTAGTAAACGCACACAAGGAATAAATCGAACATGGCAGGGCTGTTTAGTCAACGCCCAGGCGCCCGCGCCGGGCTCGTTGTTTAAGTTGTGAAGCTTCTGCTCCTGCGGCGGGCTTCTCCAGAGTTTCGCAAACTGCCGACGTCCCCACCGCCCCCTCAATCTTCTGCGCATCTGCGGAGTGCTACGTAAAACGAACCCGCCGCAGGCGCCGATTTGTTCGTTAAACTACTGGGTAGGTCGCGGGTGGGTCGCGTAACGGTCGCAGGTGGGTCGCGGGTGGGTCGTTGTTGGGTCGCGGGTGGGTCGCGGGTGCAGAGGGCTGAAAATCCACCCCATAATTGTCACCCCGACAAGCGAAGCCGTTTAGTAAACGCACACAAGGAAGGAATCGAACAGGGCAGGGCTATTTAATAAACGCCCAGGGCCGTTTAGTAAACAACAATTGTCGGATCCAGGTGTTTTTTCCTCCCTTGAGGGTGGGTCGCGGGGTGAGTCGCGGGTGGGTCGCGGGGTGGGTCGTGGGGTGGGACGCGGGTGGGTCGCGGGTGGGTCGCGGATGGGTCGCGGGGTGGGTCGCGGGGTGGGTCGCGGGGTGGGTCGCGGGTGGGTCGCGGGGTGGGTCGCGTGTAGGTTGCGGGGTGGGTCGCGGTTGGGTCGCGGGGTGGGTCGCGGGTGGGTCGCGGGGTGGGTCGCGGGGTGGGACGCGGGTGGGTCGCGGGTGGGTCGTGGGTGGACCGCGGGGTGGGTCGCGGGGTGGGTCGCGGGGTGGGTCGCGGGTGGGTCGCGGAGTGGGTCGCGGGGTGTGTCGCGGGTGGGGCAACGACAACAACAGCAACAGCAACAGCAACAGCAACAACAACAACAACAGCAACAGCAACAGCAACAGCAACAACAGAAGCAACAACAACAGCAACAACAACAGCAACAGCAACAGCAACAACAACAACCACACCAACAACAACACCAACACCAACAACAACAACGACAACAGCAACACCATCAGCAAGAGCAACAGCAACAACACCAAGAACAGCAGCAACAACATCAGTAACAACAACAACTCTAACAACATCAACAGCAACAACAATAACAAAAATATCAACACCAATGACAACAACAACGTAACAAACATAATCCTCATGTCGGATCCTCACTTCATCCACGAACCCAGGGACAACGAATAACCGTTCGGCCCCCTCACTCTAATCATCTCCTCTTTCTCCTTTTGTCCGCCCCCCCTCCTCATCCTACTCCTTCTCCTCTTGCTCACCCCCTCCTCCCCCTCCTCCAATTCCCCTTCCCCGTTTTCCCATCTCCGAGGTGGGAGAAGGACGGGGGGAGAGCGGGGGAGGGGACGCCGGAGGGTGGGAGGGGGGGAAGCGCGACGAGAAGGAGGAGGAGCAGGAGGCCGGGAAGCAGGAGGGCCATCCGCGGGATCCATGGGCCCCGCACTCCCCCCCCGCGCGCGTTGCTGCGCACCCCGGGGGGCCAGCTTTGGGCGGTCTTCGCAGTCTCAACAGCCTTCGCGGGGATGGGGAGGAGGGGGAGGGGGAGGGGGAGGAGGGGAGGAGGAGGAGGAGGAGGAGGAGGAGGAAGGAGGAGGAGGAGGAGGAGGAGGAGGAGGAGGACGAGGGCCCCCAGGCGTTTTCCTCCGCCGACGCGGGGCCGACGGCGCCGCTCCCGCGCGCCGCGGGGGCCGGTGGCCAGCTCCGGCGGCCGAGCCAGAACAACTCCACGACGGCGAGGGGGGATCGGCGGAGAAGGACGAGGAGGAAGACGTGGAGGAGGAGGAGGAGGAGGAGGAGGAGGAGGAGGAGGAGGAGGAGGAGGAGGAGGAGGAGGAGGAGGAGGAGAGAGTGGAGGAGGAGGCGGAGGAGGCGGAAGTAGGGGAGAAGGGGAGGAGAAGGAACAGGGTCAGGAGGACGAGAAGGGGGAAGAGGATGAGGAGGAGGAGGAGGAGGAGGAGGAGGGGGAGGACGAGGACGGGGGGCAGCAGGGGTGGGGGGCAAGTTGGAAAGCGCCGTCCGTTCCCCTCCTGCTCCTCGCTCTTCGAATCCCAGACTGGCACTATCTACGTGAGGGGCGTCCCGAATTTGGCTGGGCGACTCTATGTGAGCCCTGCGTTTCTCCGGGGCCGTCGGTGGCGAGCAGCAAGAAGAGTCTTCAACGGTCCCTCACCACGAAGGTTCACAAGCTTTCTGAGCATAGCTTGGGAGGCCGTCCAGGAAGCCTCGACAAACACGCACGAATCCTCCGACATACAACCCAGGCGCCGAAACGGTAAGCACCTCTGGCGCGCCAGACCGTACATGCGGACGGAGAGACATGTGTAAACATAGCGATGGTAGCAACGGACGTCGTCGACGGTGTTTACAGTAGCTTGAGTGGCCTTGGTGACGGAGGCGCTGTGGTGCAGCGGTGCCGTGACTAGAACCGAAGCGCGCGTAGCGCGCGTGGTGTTAGTATGTGTATGTGTATATACATATGTGTGTATGTATGCGTGTATGTGTGTATGTGTATGTATGCATGCCTGCATGCAAGTGTGTATGTTTTTTTGTATATATATATATATATGCATGTATTCGTGTATGTATAAGTGTATACATGTAAGTGTATGTATATGAGTATGCATGCCCGTCGTCTGCATGCGTGAATGTATGCATGCATGCATCCATGTATATACGTAGCACCCCGCAATTGCGGATACGAGTGAGGGGGCGGGCGCGGGTGACGCGGGCGTCGAGCCGGTGGACTTCGTGGCCTTCACCTTCCCCTCCTCCTCCTCCTCCTCCTCCCCCTCCTCCTCCTCCTCCTCCTCCTCTTCCTCGTCCGCGTCCTCGTCCTCATCGTCGTCGTCATCGTCCGCCTCCTCCTCTTCCACCTCCTCCTCCTCTTCCTCCTTTTCCTCCTCCTCCTCCTCTTCCTCCTCCTCCTTTTCCTCCTCCGCTTGAAACGAATGCGCAAGAAACTCGCCGCAGGCGCCGAAGTTTTGGCTTGTTCAGTAAACGTAGTGTGGGTCGCGGGTGGGTCGCGGGCTCTCCACCGTCACCTGGGAGGAATTCAAAACCAGCTCGCCGCAGGCGCCGAACATTTTTATTTGTACACTGAACGCGGTTTGGGTCGCAGGTTCTCCACCTTGAACGAATGCAAATGAAACCCGCCGCAGGTGCCGAAGTTTTGGCTTGATCAGTAAACGTAGTGTGGGTCGCGGGCTTTCCACCGTCACCTGGAAGGAATTCAAAACCAGCCCACCGCAGGCGCCGAACATTCTTATTTGTACACTGAACGCGGTTTGGGTCGCGGGTGGGTCGCAGGTTCTCCACCTGGAACGAATGCACACGAAGCCCGCCGCAGGCGCCGAAAATTTTGGGTGGGTCGCGGGGTGGGTCGCGGGTGGGTCGCGGTGGGTCGCGGGTGGGTCGCGGGCGCGGTTTGGAACGTGGGAGGGTCGCAGGTTCTCCACCCGGAACGAATGCACAAGAAGCCCGCCGCGGGCGCCGAAAATTTTGGGTGGGTCGCGGGGGGTGGGTCGCGGTGGGTCGCGGGTGGATCGCGGTGGGTCGCGGGTGGGTCGCGGGCGCGGTTTGGGTCGCGGGGTGGTCGCAGATTCTCCACTTGGAACGAATGCAAAAGAAACCCGCCGCAGGCGCCGAAAATTTTGGGTGGGTCGCGGGGGGGGGGGTCTCGGGGTGGGTCGCGGGCGGGTCGCAGGGTGGGTCGCGGGTGGGTCGCGGTTTGGGTCGCGGGTGGGTCGCGGGGTGGGTCGCGGGTGGGTCGCGGGTGGGTCGCGGGGTGGGTCGCGGGTGGGTCGCGGGGCGGGTCGCGGGTGGGACGACAACAACAACAACAAGCAACAAACAACAAACAACACACATCAACAACAACACGAAATCGCATCGCGGAGTTCTACTTCAGCCACGCACCCAGGGACAGTGAATGACCGTTCGGTTCATCCCCTCACTCTGATTTTCATATATATATATATATGTATATAGATATATCGATATGTATGTATGCATGTGTATGTGTATGTGTGGATGTGGATGCGTATGTGTATGTGCATGTGTATGCGTCTGTGCATGTCTGTGTGTATGTATGCATGCATGTATGTATGCATTCATTCATGCATGTTTGTGTGTATGCATGCTTGTATGTATGTATGTATGCATGCATGCATGCATGCATGCATGCATGTATGTATGTATGCATGTATGCATGTGTGTACGTGTATGTGTGTATGTGCTGCTGTTTGTGTGTATGTGTGTATATTCATACATATATATATATATATGTATATATGTGTATGTGTGTGTGCACGTAAGTGTATGTGTGAATGCGTGTATGTGTTTGTTTGTGTACGTCTGCATGTATGAGTGCATGAACGACTAAATTAATTTATGAATGGGTATATACATGGGTGTGCGTGTCCATCGGTCCTACAGGGTGGGAAACTACCCGACGTCATCGCTTCTGAGGAGGCCGAGCCAGGGCCAGGACCCGAGGTTGGCCGGTATCCTCCTGGCCCTCAGCTTTAATGCTAGTGCAGTAGGGTTGAAGCACCTTATATTCGGCTTTTAGCGGGCGGCGCATTCTGCTTCGAGTGCAAATTTCCAGGGTTCGCCAGGCCCAGGAAGAAAATGAATCGTCCATAGAGCGTCCTGGAACAGCCGTGGCGCCCGATAGGTCCTCGGGATCCGCCAGCCCTGATTTCACCTTGATCTTGCCGTCTCCTCGCCGTCGTCTGACATGGGGCGTTCCAGAAAGGGCCTCGCCCTTACCTCGACGGAGCTGCCCCTCTTCCTCGGCGGAAGGCGGCGGAAGTAAACGATGCGACCGCCGCCGGCGGCAGACCTGCGGAAGCCAGCGGAAGCAAAACATGCACCCCCAAGAATTGACAACATTTTTTGGGGTTCAGGTTTTCCAGAACCCATCACATGTCGGAGGTCCAAACAATGTAAATCTGCCCTCGGATCCCTTCCCATCCCTCGGTCCCCGTCCTTCAGGGCTCCATCTTTGAACCGCCAAAAAAGTCCCCGCCACGCCGCGCGACGTACCGGCGTCGCGCGGTGGTGCCACGCGCGCGCCCTCGCTGGGTGGGCGGTGGGCGGTGGGCGAAGCCGAAACGGGGAGGAGGGGGAGCAGGACGACGACGATGTGATGGCGAAGGGGAGTTCCCCGGGCCAACCCGCTCGCCACGCGACGCAAAACGCCGCCCCGACCCAACGGCTGGCCGGGCCCGAGGCGCAGCTGGCGCTCGCCCGCCCCCCGCCGCCCTGGAGTCGGGGGCCTTCGGCGGCGGCGCGGGCGTGGACGTCGCCGGCGAGGCCCGAGGACGGAGGAGGAGGAGGAGGAGGAGGAGGAGGAGGAGGAGGAGGAGGAGGAGGGATTGATCGATCGTGCGAACGTCGGCATGGGCGTCTGGCCGTGCTCGTGTTCTGGGGGGGTCTCGGTGGGGTGGCAAGCATACCACGTACGCCACCAACAACATCAACCCACTCTGGGAAAACAAAAGAAGACGAGGAGACGGGAGGAGGGAGGAGGGCGGAGGGGGAGGGAGGAGGGAGGAGGACGAGGTGGTGAGAGGAAGGGGGAGGGGGAAGCATGAAGGAGGAGGAGGGAGGAGGAGGAGGGAGGTTGAACATAGAGGAGGAAAAGGAGCACGAGGCGGAACCTTCCCAGATGATCTGCGCTTAGCTTGTAGCCCGTCTGGCGACCAGGCGGGCGCGCCTCGCCCGCTGCTGACCCCGGCGGCTGGAGGAACAGTTCAAGGGTCGAGGATGAGAATGGGGGGGGGGGGGGGGGGGGCAAAGGCCTGGAGGCGAGGAGGAGAACGGGGGGCGGGGAGGATAGCCGGGGGGGGAGGGGTGCGGTGCCCCATCCAGGGTCGGGTGGCGACACGGAGCACGGGGGGAGGCACACACCCTGCGTAAGAAGGAACATCAGCACAATCGTGCACGCTGGCGGTGCCCGCAGATGTCTTGCATCGGCGGTGGGCCCTCCTTGGCGGCGCCTCTGGCGCCACCGCGCTCCAGAGGGGGTCCAGTGCCGAGCTGAGAGATCCGTGCGGACCTGCTGACGCTTGTGCTCATTCCAATTCCCCTGACAGTGCTTGCACTCAGGTGTTCTTATTTGCCTCATAAGGACCTGGGCCTGTGCGCCGGTCCGGCCCGCTTGTGGTGGCACGCCGCCGCCGCTCGCTTGGGCTTGCGCGCTGGTTTGGCTGGCTTGTGGTGGCCCGTCGCCGCTTGTCGCCGGCGCCCGTCTGGGCCTAATTCTGCGCCGGTCCGGCCTGCTTCGTCGCCGCCCGTCGCCGCCGCCCGTCGCTGCCGTATTTTGCTCGCAATATTGATTGTGCGAGCCTCGTAGATTGCACAACGGAAAATGCTCCACGTTGGTTACACCAAGAACCTTGCACCACACACACATACATATGTGTATATATATGTATATATATATATATGTGTGTGTGTGTGTGTGTACGAGACTGCGTTGGCGCTTCGCGCCATGTGCTTTGTTCCGGACCCTCCCCGGCAAAGCAACGAGTCATCGTTTGCTTCAGCGGGGTGGACCTCGAAGCCTGGACGGGCGACCGGCTCATTTTTCTGATATCCCTGGTGCCTGCCGACACCGCGCTCGCCCGATGCGCTCGCACGCTCGTGCGCAGGAGCTGGGTGAATTACGCTACCGAAGAACCCCACATACTTCATTTAAATCTGATGTGTTCGTTTATGTTTTTAATATATTCGCGATCCTGCGTTCTGAGCCCTCGTCGCGAATGTTTCCCTATGTGTCATCCAACGCCATATTGCTTGCCACGCTTTGCGAGCCCGCAACGGATAGCGAGACCACCCCCAGCGCACCCCTCTGTCGTGTCGAGGAAGTGCCACGCCTGCCACGCTTTGCGAGCCCGCAACGGATAAGGAGACCACCCCCAGCGCACTCCCTGTGGTGTCGAGGAAGTGCCACGCCTGCCACGCTTTGCGAGCCCGAAACGGATGGGAAGACCACCCCCAGCGCCCCCTCCCTGTGGTGTCGAGGAAGTGCCACGCCTGCCACGCTTTGCGAACCCGCAACGGATAAAGATACAACCCCCAGCGCACCCCCTGTGGTGTCGATCAAGCGCAACGCCTGCCACGCTTTGCGAGCCCGTCAAGGATAGGGAGACCAACCCCAGCGCATCCCCTGTGTGTCGGGGAAGTGCCACGCGTGCCACGCTTTGCGAGCTCGCAACGGATAGGGAGACCACCCCCAGCGCACCCCCTGTGGTGTCGAGGAAGTGCCACGCCTGCCACGCTTTGCGAGCCCGCAACGGATAAGGAGACCACCCCCAACGCTTTCCCTGTGGTGTCGAGGAAGTGCTACGCCTTCCACGCTTTGCGAGCCCGAAACGGATAGGGTGACCACCCCCAGCGCACCCCTTGTGGGGCCGAGGAAGTGCCACGCCTGCCACGCTTTGCGAGCCCGCAACGGATAGGGAGACCCGCCCCCTGTTGTGTCGAGGAAGTGCCACGCCTGCCACGCTTTGCGAGCCCGCAACGGATAGGGAGACCACCCCCAGCGCACCCCCTGTGGTGTCGAGGAAGTGCCACACCTGCCACGCTTTGCGAGCCCGAAACGGATAGCGTCCCCACCCACAGCTCCCCCCCTGTGGTGTCGAGGAAGTGCCACGCCTGCCACGCTTTGCGAGCCCGCAACGGATAGCGTCCCCACCCACAGCTCCCCCCCCTGTGGTGTCGAGGAAGTGCCACGCCTGAGCCCGAAAGGATAGCGTCCCACCCGCAGTTCCCCCCTGTGGTGTCGAGGAAGTGCCACGCCTGCCACGCTTTGCGAGCCCGAAGCGGATAGCGTCCCCACCCACAGCTCCCCCCCTGTGGTGACGAGGAAGTGCCACGCCTGCCACGCTTTGCGAGCCCGAAACGGATAGCGTCCCCACCCACAGCTCCCCCCTGTGGTGTCGAGGAAGTGCCACGCCTGCCACGCTTTGCGAGCCCGAAACGGATAGCGTCCCCACCCACAGCTCCCCCCCTGTGGTGTCGAGGAAGTGCCACGCCAGCCCGAAACGGATAGCGTCCCCACCCCAGCTCCCTCCCTGTGGTGTCGAGGAAGTGCCACGCCTGCCACGCTTTGCGAGCCCGAAACGGATAGCGTCCCCACCCACAGCTCCCCCTCTGTGGTGTCGAGGAAGTGCCACGCCTGCCACGCTTTGCGAGCCCGAAACGGATAGCGTCCCCACCCACAGCTCCCCCCTGTGGTGTCGAGGAAGTGCCACGCCTGCCACGCTTTGCGAGCCCGAAACGGATAGCGTCCCCACCCACAGCCCCCCCTGTGGTGTCGAGGAAGTGCCACGCCGGCCACGCTTTGCGAGCCCGGATAGGAAAGTCTGCCACGCTTTACAGTCCCCCCTGTGGTGTCGAGGAAGTGTGCCACACCCCGCCACGCCACGCTTTGCCGAAACGGATAGCGTCCCCACCCACAGCTCCCCCCTGTGGTGTCGAGGAAGTGCCACGCCTGCCACGCTTTGCGAGCCCGAAACGGATAGCGTCCCCACCCACAGCTCCCCCCTGTGGTGTCGAGGAAGTGCCACGCCTGCCACGCTTTGCGAGCCCGAAACGGATAGCGTCCCCACCCACAGCTCCCCCCCTGTGGTGTCGAGGAAGTGCCACGCCTGCCACGCTTTGCGAGCCCGAAACGGATAGCGTCCCCACCCACAGCTCCCCCCCTGTGGTGTCGAGGAAGTGCCACGCCTGCCACGCTTTGCGAGCCCGAAACGGATAGCGTCCCCACCCACAGCTCCCCCCCTGTGGTGTCGAGGAAGTGCCACGCCTGCCACGCTTTGCGAGCCCGAAACGGATAGCGTCCCCACCCACAGCTCCCCCCCTGTGGTGTCGAGGAAGTGCCACACGCCTGCCACGCTTTGCGAGCCCTCCCCACCCACAGTTCCCCCCTCTGTGGTGTCGAGGAAATGCTGTGCGTGCCACGCCTGTGCCACGCGTGTGCTTCGCTGTGCTGTGTTGTGTGCTGTGCTGTGCTGTGCTGTGCTGCGGTGAGCTGTGCTGTGCTGTGCTGAGTTGAGCTGAGCTGTGCTGTGCTGTGCTGTGCTGAGCTGAGCTGAGCTGTGCTGTGCTGTGCTGTGTGCTGTGCTGTGTTGTGCTGTGCTGCGGTGAGCTGTGCTGTGATGCGCTGTGCTGTGCTGTGCTGAGCTGGGCTGAGCTGAGCTGTGCTAAGCTGTGCCGTGCTGAGCTGAGCTGAGCTGAGCTGTGCTGAGCAGTGCTGTGAGGAGGAGGGGAGGTGTGAGGTGAGACGCGGGTGCGACGCGGCAGGGAAGAAAACCATAACCCCAATAAGCATGTGGGGAATGATGGTTTTTGTCACGCGCGAAGGTCCTTGAGGAAGTAAAGGGCGTCTCCATGACACGCCGAAGAAGTCGCAGTAACACCGAACAAAACGATTTTCTGTAGCTTCCTGGATGCCTGGAAGGCTCCACTCAGTCAGGGGATCTTCGGTCGTCGAACTTCGAATCTAGATCCATTGCTTGTCTCTCTCGACCGAGGAGCTGAAACCTCGAGCCTCAAGCGTGGAACCAAAATCGTTGGGTCAGCTCGATGTAATTCGTAGGACAACGCCGTGTGGGCGTTTTGGGGTCTCGTTCGGGCCGTCCTGGGATCCTCGTGGGCCGTCCCGGGACCTTCTTGGCCGTCTTGGGGAGCTGGGGCCCTCCAGACGTTTTCTGAAGCCATCTAGGGCCTTCTTGGGGGCCTCCAGTGGCCTTCTTGGGGGTATCCCATGGTTTTCGTGGGTCTCTCTTGGGGGCCTTTTGGGAGCATCTTGGGCTTCTTGCGGGCAGTCTCGGGGCTCTCAGGGGCAGCCTCGGGGCCCTCTTGGGCGGTTTTCAAAACCTCTGGGGGGCGTCATGGGCAGTCTTGGGGCGATATCGGGGGCCTCTCGGGCCGCTTTGGACGTTGCGAAATCCCAAACAGCGGATATGTTAAACTTATACATTTTCCCCAAGGAAAAGGGTGATGATTGCCTCTTCGGGGCTCTCGTAACAGCCTGTTGGGGCGTCTTGGGGTCCTCCTGGGAGATATACATGTATGTATGTATGTATGTACGTACGTACGTTTGTATGTATGTATATATATATGTATGTATGTATGTATGTGTGTATGTGTATGTATATATGTATTATCCCTCGGTCTTATCGGTGCTCGCTGGGATAGTACAAGTTAAAAATGAATATGGCCAATCGTTCGTTCTGAGTACGAATTCATGCCATCCCATGGAGTGCCGGTATCCCCCCCGCCCTCTATCCGTGTCAACTCAGACT